GGGGGGGGAATTAAGTCACCCCCGAAAAGACAGCCTAGCTGTTTTTTCGGGGCTCAAAAAAAAAAAAGACCCGGCCTTATTATATGAGAAACACGGAATATATATAATCAATCATTCAGCTTTGTTCGGGTATTTTCCCACGTGATAGTAGTTGTGCTTTTAAAGTTGTAGCAACGTTTCGGCAGAATCTCATCTGCCATCGTCAGGCTTCTGTATAGTGTTCATCTATATATATATTTGTTTGTTTTAAATGTATGTCAAATAAATGTTTTTTTCTAGAATAAAAAAAAAGGTGATTCCTGTTACTGATTCAGGAAAATTTGGAGAGTCCTCCCACCTAAGCTGCTAGGAAAAGAGTGGAGAGCATTTAGATCTAATCCTGCCCGTCTTGGTTGGCTTTAGTTTTGAGGCCAGAGTTTTTCCAAAGAGAACCTTAAGGGGGTTGGGAGTGTGAGCACTTTCGCGTGCAGAAAGGGGTTTTGAGTTCCTATTGCCTGTCACTCAGCACTAGGGAGACACAGAGGGCCTTCTTTTAGTGCTCTCCACCCCATCCGCCCCCCTTTTAGGCACATGTCAAACAAGATCAGGCCTATTGTTTCATTTGCTGTTAAATCCAGATCAGATCAGGCAGGCCAAAGTGAAGAGTTGTCCATCACCCCCTTTTCCATTGCTGCACCAGAGTCTGGTCCAGCCTGGCCCAGTGTTTCTTTAGTTGGTGTTTAATTCCAACTCAGCCCACTGCGTGCACCCCTGAGGCGACCCAAAGCGAGCAGCACTCAGGCGTTGGCCAGGGAACTGTTTGTTAACTGTGGAGGCCTGGCCAAGCAGCCTTGATTTCACACCTGATTGGCTTCTGAAGAGCCGCGCAAGTTGGCACGAAGGCAAGGGAGCACCTGGCCCTGCTTTTCGAAGCCATCTCGTTTACTGACAGCCAGATAAACAGGCAGGAGCGTGGTGTTTCCAGCACTTCCTTGGAAAACCCTGCTGGGATGCAGGAAGCCCAAGTCTTAATGGCAGCAACTCCAAACAACTGGGCAAATATGCTGCCTGATAAGATGTGGATCAACACGGCCACCCCTCTGGAGGGAGGAAGCCTTCTGGGGGCAGCCTAAACTTCTTCGCTTCTTGCAAAGCGCTGGTGGCCTAGAAAGGACCATTGACAAAAAGAGGAAGGCTGGGCATCCAGCAAGAACCAGAGAAGACCACAGATTGTCTTCCTCCCAGGGGTGGGGCTTTAGTAGATCTGCTGGGAGGGACATTTGGCGAGGGTTTTTTTCCCCCCTGCCTGGGAGGAAGTTGGAAACCAGATGTGTTCTGGAAAATACAGATTTATCATAACCAGTTCGCCAAACTGAACAAGAAATTAGGTATTGGTTCTGCTGAACCTGTGTGAACTGGCTGAATCCTGCCACTGATCTGTACTAAATTCTTTGGAACAGTTCACAGTATATGAAAAACACTATAAATTAAATTCAAACTAATGTAAAGGTCAAATGTTTACAAATGACAGCAGAGCAAATCTGTAAATTTAAATTTCACATGCACATTTCAAATGATAAAAAGCGTGAAGGATCAGAGATGGGTAAGAATAGCCAATAAATGTATTTACAAATCTCACACCTTCCTTTTAGCATTAAGAGACCCGAAGTTAGACTGTGGATGGGTGGGTGGTAGACAACTTAAAAGAGCAAACTGAGAGTAGTAAGGACATAATTTTATCATGAGGAAAGGAAAAAGAAGCCTTGCCCTTTTGTAATAGGCAAAGTTCTTTCCTTTGTAGATTCAAATTTCCCGGCTGGGAGAAATGCAAAATGATTTGGTCAGCTGCATTGAAAGTCAGAATCAGTTTATTAATAGGAAGGCAGATAAGAAATCTCACAGCGTTCCTAGGAGTAATCTAATAAGTGAGTAGAAAAACCTCACAGGGGAACACAGAAGAGGGAAATGGAGATGGAGAGACAAGGGGGTAAAAAGGGCAGAGAGAAGAAGCAAGGGAGGAAGGGAAGAGAAGCTACAAAGGTGTGGAGCAAGATGTAAAGAAACAGGACTTATTCAGAGATAATGGGTGAAAATTTAACTGAAAAAGTGATTCTGCAAAGGTACAAAAGATTGTATTGTTATATTTGTATTAGAAATAATGTTAGAAAATTGGAAACAACATACGATTAAAAAGTGGGATAAAATACTCAGTGTAATTCAGTGAAACTTTTGTGAACAAAATAAATGAAATGAAATAAATGAGAGAATTGAACTAGGAAGGAATGGGAACATTTTAATGATATAATGTTTTAAAATATGACTGAAGTGGGGGGGAAGTAACTATGGAAAGTTTATAAGTGTTTCCATAGAAGTATTGTATTTATTTGAAAAGTAATGTGTAAAATGTTTAAGATTTAAATGAATACTAATATTAACAATAGATTTGAATTGGTATGGATTGTTGTTTTAATTATATTATATAGAAAAACCTCTCTTTTATACACTTCAGGTTCTTTGATTTGTAGGTGTGAATCTTTGAAGACTTTGATTTGTGTGTGTTGAATTCCTGTCTCTTTGGGATCTCTTCCTGGGATCTTGGTTTTATGGTCCTGATCCTTTGTAGTAGCTTGTTTGCTATGTTTCCTTCCTGCCATGGCTTTTGGTTTGCTTTTCACAAATTTTTATAACTTGCCATCTATTTGATTTCTACGGAAAAGGATCTTAGCTAGTTTGTAGGGTTTTTTTCTCTGTATCTCATGCCTGTAATTTTCTCCTTCCTTTGTTGTGAAAAGCTGGCTCCAGCTATTTTAATAGCCCTACTTGACAAAGGGTGGGGGCTGTTTTCCTAGAAGAGAGGAGAATCTAACTTCCAACAATCATTTGCAGTATTGCTTCTAAATAACATTTAAATTCAGAGCCCATGCCAAAAAAAATGAACTATTATTATTTGTCAATTTCATTGCTCCTGCCCCTTTTATATAAACTCTTCTTCTATTGGTTTACGGCAACTCAAAAGCTTCATTACTTTATTCCTCCTCCCCAGCTCTCCGTGTCATTTTCCGAAGACATCCAGGATATAGGAAATTATACGAATAACAACGATAGTTTTCCATAACATTCGCGTGCCCGCTCTTCTTTCTCCAGAAACACCCGGCTCGCTCACGGTCACTCTTCCTGTTCCCACCCTAAAGCGGAATAGGAAAGACGGATATCGTCATCTGGCTTCTAATTGGCTGTTCGGCCAACCGGGGCACTTGGGTTTCTTTTCTCGCGCCACTTTTAGGCGCTTTGGCGCGAGAGCGTGAAGTTGGGATCTGGTTTGGGAAGGAGCTGCGAGCCGCGCTTTTACCGCTCCCCCCTTCATTATGGAGCTGACCGAGCGTCTGCATAACGATGATTACCATGGAGGTTAGTGTGCTTGGGGATGTGGGATAAGGTGGTGGCCGAAGAAAATCTCAAACCGGAGGACTGTAGTAAAGGACAGAGAGATTGCTGGTAGAAGTGAATGGAAGATTTAGGCGGTGGTGGTGGGCATAAGCTGAATTTCCTAAAGGAAGAAAGCAACGGAACAGCAGCAGCTGTGACTAGAAAATAAGTATTTTGACTCTGAATTCAGGATAAATAAAGTGGCCGTAGTGCAAGCCTTATTGCTTATACCTCTATTGAAAGCATAAATAAACTGTTTTACCGTCTCAGTTGTAATCACATTTAGTGCTACTGAGGTTTCTGCAGTGGTTTCATGGAGGTACACTCTCAGAAAGAGAGTGTACCATTGAATTTTTTTTTAAAAAAATAGGATTTATTTAGGAATTTCCGTGACATAAGCCCAATGTCTAAAATTTATCAAATCTTTTCAGTGATGCTCCATGAATGTTTATGTGTAAATCTTACTGACATTGGTGGTGCTTACTTTCAAGGTAAAGCTTCTAAGAGCTCAGCCTTTGGGAATTACATATCTGTGAAGTTTTATTGACAATAATAGGGAAGTGATTTTTCATTTTCCATTATTCTGACATGTTTTTTTCAACTCTAGCCTGTTATCTTGGTATTTCTTTGTCTTCCATCCAAATATTAATTAGTTCTGAATCTGCTCTGCTTTTCAAGCCAAAATTGACTAAGTGCTGTCATCTAGCTAGATACTTATTGTCAAGTGATTGTGCAAAGGTGTGCAGTCTTTAATTCTACTTTTCTTCTAGTGGCTTTTTGGCTGATTTTCTCACTGAAGACTCAAATTTGTCATTTTTATATGAATGATAGTTTCTTAGGCTCTTTAGATGCATTAAAACTATTGCTGCAGTTGTAGGCGGAAATAACAAAAGTTTTCATTTGTCAAGGTAGTAGGTGAATCTATAAGTAGATGATTATTGTTACAACTAGATCAGTCGTCCTCATAGGCATATTGTTGAAGTATAAGAACATGTTGCAGCTACTTTTAATCTTCAAGCCCTTCATTTAAAAAAGAATTTTTATTGAAAACATTTTAATTTAGAAAGAGGAGAAATAAATAACTGGTTGAGATTTTTATGAATTTGAGAAACTATGGCAAAATGAGAACAATAATCTTGGAATAATAGAGCAGAAGTGGATTTGAGATAAACTAATTTCTGTTTGATGTAAGATACTTTATAGCAGGGGTCGCCAATCTTTTGGACCTCAGGGACCACCAAACTCATAATTTTAGATCCCAGGGACCACTAACTGGTTCTGTGGGCGTGGCCTAATTTGTGGGTGTGGCTTGGTCATGTGACTGGCTGGGCATGGCTTGTATGTAAATATAAATATATAAATATTGAATTTTTTATTAAAAAAAGAGCAACTTTTACCCAAAATCAGGCAAAGCAGGCAGGCAGATTGAGTTGCTCACAGAATCACAAATTCATTCAGAAAGCTATCTGCCATTGGCTAGCTCAGTCTGTCACACAAAATTTGCCTGCAAGCAAACTCACAAAATTAACTCACAGCACACCATGTATGTAAATATTGAATTTTTTATTTAAAAAAAGAGCAACTTTTACCCCAAATCAGGCAAAGCAGGCAGGCAGATTGAGTTGCTCATAGAATCATTCAGTGATCTATCTGCCATTGGCTAGCTCAGTCTGTCACATAAAATTTGCTTGCAAGCAAACTCAAAATTAACTCACAACACACCATGTATGTAAATATTGAATTTTTTTATAAAAAAAGCAACTTTTATCCAAAATTAGGCAAAACAGGCAGATTGAGTTGCTCACAGAATCATTCAGTGATCTATCTGCCATCGGCTAGCTCAGTCTCTCAAATTTGCTTGCCATGAGTTTGCACTGAATTTGTTTGCAAGCAAACCTTTAGTTCTAAGGGAGGTTTGGCTGTGCTTAGCTAGAAAGCAAGAAATCCAACCATTTCCTGCTTCCTAGCTAATCTAAATCTGGCACAGCAGAACAGATGATGGTCGGAAAAAGGAAAAGTAGCAACTTAGCAGACAAGTTTACTGGGGTAAGCAGTGAGTGGGCGGGGAGGGTTCCTGCGGGCCATGTGGGCTGAGCAGCCTTGTGTTTCTGTGCAGCCTGGATTAATTGCTTTTTGGGGGTGCTCTGGGGGGTGAGATTTCTCTGTGGCCCACCAAAAAATTTTCACGGCCCACCGGTAGGCGACCGCTGCTTTATAGCATCCTTAACAGATAGATGCTCTGTCTCTGCTTACTTCTAATAAAAGATAACCACCAGTTTTATAAGCTTCCTACTCTACTGCTAAACAGCTCTTGCTATTCACGCCCTCTTATTTAGCAGAAATTTTGTTCCTTGCATTTCATATCCATTGATTTTAGTTCTGCTTTCTAGAGCAACAGAGGACAACTTGGCTGTGTTTTAAAGGCAATTTTCCTAATATTTGAATGCTATTATCATTCTTCCAAATCCAGTACAGCCAGCTTTTTCACTGTTATTCAGAGGGTTGGTAACAGCTTGTGTGTTGTCCTTGTTCTTCCATAAATGTGCTGATAAACAATGTGTAGAACTTGATGTTGTACTCCAAGTGTTATCAGAGTAGATCATAGTTGTCATAAGAGGTTGCAAGACTGTTAAGAAATTGCAAGATTGAATATATAACTGTAGAGCATTGCAGTGCCATATTCAATTCAATTTAGAAACCTACATTGTTTTCACATGTACTGCTACCACATCAGATGTCCCTATTTTATATTATTTTATTTTGCATTTAAATGCAAATGACTGTCTCATTAACAAATTTTATAAGCATTCTATCTAACCCTTATCTGTATCACTAAGAAAACAGCAAACAGGACTGTGAAGAATTCTGTGCTACATCTGATTCCTCTTTCTGCATAAAAGTTGAGAATAATAGCCAAACTCCAAGCCTGTCCTATAGACAATTGCAGCTAGCCATAATGATGAAAATACACTGCTCCAAAAAATAAAAGGAACACAAAAATAAGACATCCTAGATCTGAATGAATGAAATATTCTTATTAAATACTTTGTTCATTACATAGTTGAATGTGCTGACAACAAAATCACTCAAAAATTATCAATGGAAATCAAATTTAGCAACCCATGGAGGTCTGGATTTGGAGTTACACTCAAAATTAAAGTGGAAAAAAACACTACAGGCTGATCCAACTTTGTAATGTCCTTAAAACAAGTCAAAATGAGGCTCAGTAGTGTGTGTGGCCTCCACGTGCCTTTATGACCTCCCTACAATGCCTGGGCATGCTCCTGATGAGGTGGCGGATGGTCTCCTGAGGGATCTCCTCCCACACCTGGACTAAAGCATCCCCCAACTCCTGGACAGTCTGTGGTGCAACGTAGCGTTGGTGGATGGAGCGAGACATGATGTCCCAGATGTGCTCAATTGGATTCAGGTCTGGGGAACAGGCGGGCCAGTCCATAGCATCAATGCCTTCGTCTTGCAGGAACTGCTGACACACTCCAGCCACATGAGGTCTAGTGTCATGCATTAGGAGGAACCCAGGGCCCACCGCACCAGTGTATGATCTCACAAGGGGTCTGAGGATCTCATCTCGGTACCTAATGGCAGTCAGGCTACCTCTGGAGAGCACATGGAGGGCTGTGTGGCCCCCTAAAGAAATGCCACCCCACACCATTACTGACCCACTGCCAAACTGGTCATGCTGGAGGATGTTGCAGGCAACAGAACGTTTTCCACGGCATCTTCAGACCCTGTCACATGTGCTCAGTGTGAACCTGCTTTCATCTGTAAAGAGCACAGGGCGTCAGTGGCGAATTTGCCAATCTTGGTGTTCTCTGGCAAATGCCAAACGTCCTGCATGGTGTTGGGCTGTAAGCACAACCCCCACCTGTGGACGTCGGGCCCTCATACCACCCTCATGGAGTCTGTTTTTGACCGTTTGAGCAGCCACATGCACATTTGTGGCCCGCTGGAGGTTATTTTGCAGGGCTCTGGCAGTGTTCCTCCTGTCCCTCCTTGCACAAAGGCGGAGGTAGCGGTCCTGATGCTGTGTTGTTGCCCTCCTACGACCTCCTCCACGTCTCCTGATGTACTGGCCTGTCTCCTGGTAGTGCCTCCATGCTGGACACTACGCTGACAGACACAGCAAACCTTGCCACAGCTCGCATTGATGTGCCATCCTGGATGAGCTGCACTACCTGAGCTACTTGTGTGGGTTGTAGATTCCGCCTCATGCTACCACTAGAGTGAAAGCACTGCCAGCATTCAAAAGTGACCAAACCATCAGCCAGAAAGCATAGGAACTGAAAGTGGTCTGTGGTCACCACCTGCAGAACCACTCCTTTATTGGGGATTCCATTTGCACAACAGCATGTGAAATTGATTGTCAATCAGTGTTGCTACCTAAGTGGACAGTTTGATTTCACAGAAGTGTGATTGACTTCGAGTTACATTGTGTTGTTTAAGTGTTCCCTTTATTTTTTTTTAGCAGTGTATATGCATATTGATATCACAATGCAAACTTTGTCTTTTCATTTTTGTTGGTCACAAGTTTGTATGTTGTGGAATAGAATAATGACATTATGACAAACATTATTTGTTCAACTAAGTATACCTATGGCCTATCACACTCTGCAAATGTCCCCTGGCTGTTCAAGGATTGCTTTAAGATGGCTAGAGCTCCTTGAAAAAGCTTAAGGGTGAGTGAAGACCAATTCCCTGGGAATAAAAACATGCATACCCACAACTATTCAGCTATCTTCTATCATTCATATTAGTAGACTGTAATATATCTCACATTTCATGTTTACAATCCATTGATGTACATGTCTAAATAAAGGATTTGGACTGACTTGCTGTTAATTTTCCTCTCATTAGCTGCTTTTCTCATGTTTACATTTACTTTTGCATTCTTATTAGTGTCTTGTCTTAGTATCATTCACCATTGTCTGAAATATTGGGGTATTTTGTTTGTGGGTTCCATGCACAAACCTAACTCTTGATATTTGCTCCAAGGTTTGTTCTTTGTGCTGTTCCCTGAAAGGAAAGCTTAATGAACTAGTATGATGCTCTTTGGTAGTGTCTGTACGGAGGCATAAGCCAATATATTCTATTTTAGATCTTGAATCTTCTAGACTTGTAGAAAAAGAATTCTGAAAAAGTGCAAAAAGTAGTATCTTAATACATTTAATTACAAAATATATTCAATAAAAGTTGACACTAAAGATTTATTAATACATTGAAACACAATACTTTTTACTGAGCATATCCTTTTTAAATTTAAGATTTAATATTTAGTTGTATGCACTTGCAGTTTTTCTGATACATTTTATTTGATTTTTCTATAAAGTAAGAGTATAATTTAAACAAAGTTACATATATCAATGCATAGCATTCTGTTTTTTTTTTTTTGTAGTTTCAATGGGTAGAATTCTAATCAACAGATCTTTTATCTTTCATTGACATTGATATTTATTATCAAAGTTTTCACCTTCTGTATGTGTCTGTTAGTTATATTCTCACATTCTTTTTTAACACTTGTTATCAATTCTGTTTTTTAGAAACAACAAATACTGCAAACCTTGCATCTTCACGTTTGCATCGTGAGAAAAAATCTAAAAAAGGAAGGCAAGAAGCTCTGGAACGGCTGAAGAAGGCAAAGGCTGGTGAGAAAATAAAATATGAGGTAACTAAAACATTGTTCTAATTTCAGTTTTCTTTTTTTTAACCAATGTAAGTGTGTCATTTTCATATTGTTTTGTGAGTGAATCTGTGTGCATGAGTCCACACACTATTTTTGTTTGAGAATTTATCTACGTTTATTTATTAACCCAATTTCAGGAACTGGTACTCTTCAAGCAGTGGTGGTATTCGACTGGTTCTGCCTGGTTCTGGAGAACCAGTAGGAGCGATGAGCAGCAGAGACCGAACCGGTTCTCTCTGCCGCTCTGCTGTTGGGCCCACCCGCCCACCAGGGTTCCCATACTCACCTTTATCTGCTGAATTTGAAGCGCAGCTGCTTTGCGTGGCACAGAATAGTGCCGCGTGGCAGCTGCAGAAGCAATCGGGATCGTGCAGGCTTGCAGGAGGTGAGTTAGAACTGCATCTGCACAAAGTGCGTGTTTGGTGTACGCGTGCACACGTGCACGCAAAGTGTGTGCACATGCACAAAACGCCCACAAAACTTGTGGCAACTATTTGAATCCCACCACTGTCTTCAAGATGGATGATAGCACCCATCCCCCTGTAGCTGTGTTCATGCTGCCTTGAATGTTGAGGCTCATAAGTGAAGAATGCTGTGTAAGAGAACGAAGCTACTACTAAGTGCAGGTCTCTTATTTGTATGTATTTAAATATAGAAAAATATGTTGACTCCTGATGATTTCATCTGATGTTTTTCATGGCAGTGTAAATGAAACAATTGACTGTTGCTTTTTTGGTTATTTTTTCAATTTCTTAGTTTGGACAATAAATCCAGAATCTGAAAATGGTTCTATATCCAAATACTTACAATGCTGATTCTGTTTAGCTTCTGAGATCATCTAAAGTCTGGACGTTGCTGCAGCTTGGCATATTTATTTAAATAAATATCCCAATAATGTCAGAATATCAGAATCTTATTTTCTATTTGTTGTTTTTTAAAAGTTAGAGTAATAATTTTCTTTTTGTAGGTTGAGGAATTTACAGGTATTTATGATGAAATTGATGAAGAACAATATTCTAAGATTGTCAGAGAACGCCAGGATGATGACTGGATTGTGGATGATGGTTTGTAAAATTGATTTTTTTAATCTTTGGGCTGATACTAAACCTGTTTTTCCATACATTTTCTGGTAATGTGATTCAAACAAACTTTGTTATTTTTAAAAATAACCATGTTTTATAAAATTTGCTTGAATCTCTTGTGTGCATCTAAAAGAAAACTAATGCACATCAGTCAGTGGCATTAACTGAGCTGCTGTTCTGGCGATGGATTCAACTTGATCAGTATAACATTGCCAGAGTCTGTTCTGGTTATTGTTCTGATACTTCAACTGTAATATTAAGAACAAAGATAAAATTCTCTCAAAACAGGCATAGTGAGAGAGCAATTGATTTAGTCCCTTGTCATTTTTTTTGTAGAAGTCTAGAATAAGTTAATATTTCTTATAATAGAAAAAAAACTGTAACTACAGGTAGTCTTCAACTTGTAACCATTCGTTTAGCAACTATTTGAAGTTACAATGGTGCTGAAAAAAAGTGACTTACAATTAGTCCTCACACTGTTGCAGCGTCCCCATAGTCATGTGATCAAAATTCAAGTGATAGCAATTAGCATATATTTATGATGATTGCAGCATCCAGGGATCACAAGATCACTATTTGTGATCTTCTCAGGTCTTCCAACAAACAAAAGTTATTGGGAGAAGCTGTATTCATTTAATGACTATCTGATTTGCTTAATGACCAATTAAGCAATTGTCCCAATTGTGATAATCAAGGACTATATGTAAAACCTATATGTAAAACTGATTTGAATAAAGAAACTGCTTAGATATAAATTGGCAGGAGATAATCAGTTTTTCCTGACTATTTGGCATGATTTTTATAGCTGGTTGTGCTTCTGTAGCTAAGTTGGTTTCCTAAGTTATCATCTACTAAGTCATTTGTGAGGATAAATCTACATTTTAAGATGGTTAACAGAAAGGAAATCATTTCTTCTAGTATTATGTACTGTGCAATGTCAAGAGTATGAAAAATATCAAGAATTAGAAATGACAAGTTGGTTTTTCCTTGTGAGAATGAGCCAGTAAATTAGTGAACATGCATTTGTATCTTTGTATTTTTACAGGTTAGGATCTTCTAATAGTATGTATTATTTCCTTTTTAATTTTACCTTTAGAACAAGCCTTTTAGATAGTCTGATGATAGTAATTAGTGAAAGGTAACCTAAGGAATTGGAACCAGAACTGTCCCAACCATCTAATCACTATCACTGTTAGTCTGCCCAGTAGTTATGGAAAATAGTAATTGTAGTTTAATTTGAGAAAACACAGGTTTATTATTCTACTACTGCAAAATGATGGAAAAATCGAGTGAACATGGATTAATTTGCCTTCCTAAGTACAACTTTTAATGCAAAATATAAATATAGTGACTTGGCTGTAATAGAGTGACATTTTTTATAGATGGGGTTGGTTATGTAGAAGATGGCAGGGAAATTTTTGATGAAGACTTAGAAGACGATGCTCTTAATTCTGACAAGAAACGTGAGTATATTTTTTTGGTAGCATGTTGGACTATGTATTTCTATATTCTTGCTTATTTTCTCTGTACTTTTTGATATCTGATTGATTTCCCCTCCAAGCTGGAACTGGAGCACATTGTTTTAATCCTACTTGCAAGACTGATTGCAACAGGAAGCCTTGCATATCTAGTCATTATGAAATATTGTTTTGTCTTCAGTACTATTATCTACATGAAATTCCTGAGATAAATAATTCAAAATGTGATTTACACATATTACACCTGAATAGGAAGAGGCTGTGCATCTCCTAGGCCAAGTTAAAATGTTGGTCTTGACAGAGAGCAATATGATGGTGGTTTTGAACTATGGGAAGATGGAGCCTTATCGGTTCCCAGGAAACAGCATGTTTATATGCTGTGATTATATTGCCTGTAAATAAACAGGAGAGAGCCAGTTTGGTGTAGTGGTTAAGGCATTAAGCCAGAAACCAGGAGGCCATGAGTTCTAGTCCTGCATTAGATATGAAGTCATCTGAGTGACTTTGGGTCAGTCACACATACACAGCTCTGGGAAGCAGCCATTGGCAAACCATTTTTGAAAAATCTTATCAAGAAAACCGCAGGACTTATCCAGACAGTTGCTACGAATCAAAACTGACCTGAAGTCATCAAACAACAAACAAACTCCCAAACCCAGGTTAAATCTTTTAACATACTTTTAACCATCTTGTCATTGGGGACCAAGATAACTGGTGATAGAAATACCATTTACCATATCTTATTGTATATGTTTCTACTCAATTCTGTAATCATGAAACATGCATTTAGTAATCTCAGTTATAGTAATAGGTGTTCTGTGGAACTGCTTTTATGGAAATCTGTGCTTACTGCAAAAATGAAGTTGCAAAGTTGCTACTCACAATATTGGTAAGACAACTGCACGGGTTGGCACACACACTATATCTTTTGAGGTGCAGAAGGCATAAGAAAGCCAAATAAATGAAAGCACAAATTATTCTCCTTTTTTACCATGCACGTTTCTTGAGTTATCAAATTCCACTTCATTCAGTTTGTTTTTACATTTCATTTGATATACATAGGTCTCATTTCTGTATAATTTATCCACTTATATAAATTCTTTTATACATAACTTGCAATTCCTCAGCCTTGATTTTTGCTACATTGATCACTGTGATTGATCAGACTGAGACAATGTCTTAACTCATTGTTTGCATCAGTCTTCACACAAAAAGAAACTATAGCCCAACCTACCAAAAACTGTAAAAGACAGACTACAAATAAAAATTAAAATAAGCAAGAAAATAGTAAGATAACACTTGTCTAACTTGGATGAATATACTGTATATCTATCTATCACTGGGTCTTGATGGATTACATCTCAGAGTTCTGAAGAAGGTGGCAGATGTTATCTTAAAACCATTGTATCATATCTTTAAAAAATATTGGAGCACTGGGGAACTACCAGAGGATTGGAAAAGAGTTAATGTTGTTCCCATCTTCAAAAAGGAAAGAAAACAAAACCAACAGACCCAGGAAACTTCCGACCAATCAGCCTAACATCAATACCTGGGAAGATACTGGAAAAAATAATAAAAAAACAGATCTGTGTACTTCTAGAAACAAAGTTATAACTAGAAGTCAGCGTGGGTTTGTTAAAAACAGATTGTGCCAAACCAATCTTATTTCATTCTTCAACATAGTGACTAAATTAGTAGACCAGTGAAATAATGTGAACATATTATACTTAGACTTCAGCAAGGCATTCGACAAATTAGACTGCAACTAGAAAAATGTGGCATAGATGGCATCACCACCAGATTTGTAACTGGTTGACAAACAGTACTCAACAAGTAGTCCTTAATGGTATTACATCTACATGGAGGGAAGTAAGCAGTGGGGTACCACAAGGTTCTGTCTTAGTCCCAGTACTCTTCAATATCTTCATAAGTGACTTAGATGAGGGAGTAGAAAGGAAACTCATCAAATTTGCAGATGACACTAAGCTGGCAGGAAAAGCTAACACCCCAGAGACAAGCTCAGGATCCAAAAAGATCTTGACGGACTTGAACAATGGGCTCTATCCAACAAAATGAAATTTAATGTGGAGAAAAGCAAGGTTTTAGACTTGGGCAGGAAAAACCAAAGGTATAAGTACAGATTAGGTGAAACCTGGCTCAAAAACAGTAACTAAGCGAGGGACCTTGGAGTCCTAGTGGACAATCATTTAAACATGAACCAGCAGCCAAAAAAGCTAATACAATCCTGGGTTGTATAAACAGGCATAGAATCAAAATCAAGTGAAATATTAGTACTGCTTTATAAAACCTTGGTAAGACTACATCTGAAATACTGCATCAAGTTTTGATCACCACATTACAAAAGAGATGTTGAGACTTGGAAAAAGTACAAAGAAGCAACTAAGATGATTAAAGGCCTGGAGACTAAAACATAAAAGGAATGGTTACAGGATTGGGTTTGGCTAGTCTAGAGAAAAGGACTAATGGGAGACATGATAGTAATATTCCGGTATTTGAGAGGCTGCCACAAAGAAGAGGGGGGTCAGCTTATTTACCAAAGCATCAGAGGGCAGGATGAGAAACAATGGATAGAAATTAATCAAGGAGAGAAGCAACTTGGAATTCAGGAGAAACTTTCTAACGATGAGGACAATTAGTCAGAACAGCTTGCTATCAGACATTGTGGGTGCTTCATAACGAGGTTTTAAGAAGAGTCACTTGTCTGAAATGATATAGGATCTCCTGCTTGAGCAGTGGCTGAACTAGAAGACCTCCAAGGTTCCTTACAGCTCGATTTTTTGTGTGTGTATAGTTTTATTTATAGTTTTTTCTTTAACATCCATAAGTGCTTAGTGGACAAAGTGTTGTCTGGGTCAATATATTTTACACACAGTAATAATAGTAATATTGTTTAGATATACATAATCATAATCTTTCAACTTCTAACATTTGTGTGTATATAGTAGTTATAATATATTCTATATCAGTATACATAATACTATTTTCCCAATTTCTAACTTCTACCTCTTTTTTATAACTCTTAATAAAATAGCTACTCTATTAAGTATTCTATATCTATCCAACATCTCTTATTCTTTTTTAAATTTCAATTCTTATTGACTTTTTGGTAAAATCTTTCATGTTTCTTCCTTGGAATCTTATATTTTGAACTTTTAAAGGATAATCTGTCTGTTCTGTTTTAAGAATTATTACTATCTCTTCCATATCTTTATCCACCTGTATCATTTTTGGATTTATCTCCTCTATTCTTTCCTCAGCTTCTTCTGGTTTATTTTCTGAATTTTTTGTTCATCTTTTATTATCATTTGCTGGGGGTTTCCTATTCTCACATCTTTATCCTGCATCAGTTCCATTATCTCCCTATGATTCCTTGTCATATCTTCCTGAATGCATTGAAACATCAGTAATGTTTCTTTATTAAACCATAATTGTTTCCCTCTGTTGAAACATCTTATAACCATTTAATGAGTTAATAGTAATTCAATATTCCACCAAGATTCCAACATCCCAATTGCCCAGAAACACAAAAAACGTCAATGTTAATAAAATTTACACAATCCCGGAACTGTTCCTCAAAATCCCCTAAATTTATAGTCCTTAAAGTTTTCCAATTTACACCTTCTAAATTTCCCAAATTTTTAAATCTTCTTTAATTTGTCTTCTTTCTTATTTCCTTTTCGCCTCATAGAGTGTTCTATCAAGTAGTCTTAATAATCCAGATTGGCCCACCAAATTTCCCCAAATGTCTTTGATCCACAGAATCAAATATTCAATTTCAAAGATGCTTCTTGTTAATTATAATTCACCTTGCCTTAGAAATCTTCAGAAGGCTCACTCAGTACTTCCAAGCTGCCAAAATGCCAGTAGATATGGAACCAAAATAAAAAGGCCTTCCAAGTGTTTGCCTTTTGCTATTTCCTTTGTTCTCTTTATTTTTCTTGTAGTATCACTTAATCCTCACTTGTCAAGGTCATTTCCCACAGTGTTCTAATATAATATCTTCTTTTGCCAGTAGGTGGCACCCTGTCTCAAGGTTCCAGCATTAAACAGCTGACTATCAAAAGAAAATTCAAGGAAAAAGTATTAAAAAAAACAAGATTCCTTTTTCTTTATATGATTTCTTCAGATAATTTCAAACAGTGTTATCCAAAATTTAAGTCACTTTTCACAGTACTATCAGTTCCAGTCAAGGCTTTCTATATTTTCAAGCTTCAGAATCAAAACTTTGCTTCACTTTTGGATATAATCTCTGTGTATTAAATCGCTGCTTTCTTAGTTTTGGAGAATCTTTTTTTTTTTTTAAATGCTTTTATTTGGGTTTAAATCTCTAGTATAGAAGTTGAAAGTCATTTTACCCAGTTTCTTTTCTTTTTTCTTTAAGATTTTTAGTTTTAAGTGTATATAAGTATTAAATACATGAACAGTTTGGCTTCTGGGTATTAATTTTGATACATAGTGATAATAAAATTGACAATTTTGATCACCTTATATTAATCATACTCACATCTTTCTCATAACATTATACAGAACATAGTCATCTCTCAACTTCTTATCCTTTCATCTACCTACTGGTTTTAACATGTTTTATAACAATATTCATTGTAGCATTTCCCCCTTTCTGATTTCTACCTCTATTTTGTATCTTGATAACACCAATCTTACGTTAGTAAGTATTCTATTTCTATCCATCTTTTATCTATTTTAATTATATTAATTACATTAGTCATACATCATTATCGTAAAATAAATATGGAATTAAAGTTGTTAACATATATAATCCATCATTTAGTTGTTCAATATAATATATATTACTCAATGCTAATAACAATGGTAACCTTAATAATGTTATTTAAAGATATATAATGCAATCATCTTTCAGCTTCTACATACTAATTTTAAAACATTATATAGGAGTATACCTAACAATATTTCCCCTCTTTTTAATTCCTACCTCTATTCTAAATCTTGATAGCACATATCTTATATGGCTGAATATTCTATTTCTACCCATCATCCCTCATTCATTTTAGTATATCAATTCTTATTGATTTTTTGGCATGCTTTCATACTCCTTTGAAGTTTTATGTCTCCCTATATCATTCTTTCTTAGTATGTTTTCCTTCTTCTACCTCTGCCTCGCTGCCGATCTTCACTATGCCTGTGAGTGTGTCTCTCCTCACTTCAGTAATGTCTTTCTGCTTATTCAATTCTATTTTTAAGTCTAAATGTATTGTCAGCTTGATCTGTTTCATCTGTTTTGATTCTCTCTTATCTTCTGGGTTAGTTTATTGTTTTGTCTGCTCTTTCCCATCCTCTGTTTTTTCTATTCTCTCCTCTGTTTCCTGGGTTTCCTGTTCATTTTTCATTGTTATTTACTGAACATATTCTAGTCTCAGGTCTACATCATACATCAAATCCTTTATCTCCCTGTGGTTCTTTGTTATAGTTTCATACATACTTTGAAACATCAATGACATTTTTTTTGAAATATGCTTGTTATTTCCTGTTGAAGCATTTTATCTTATTTTGATGTCCAAAAATTATTCACACATCTGTCATATCCTACACTCTTAGTTGTCTGTAACATCAAAAAGCCAGCCTTAAAACTGTTCACTCAGTCTCAGAGTCATTTCTTGAAGTACGCAATATTTATAATTCTTCATAGTCCTCCACCAATCAGTTTACTCCTTCCAGATTTCCCTTGTCTTCATCAGCCACCTAACCAGCTCTTTGATTCCAATAAAAGTTCCAAGTGTTTGTGAACCACTCTACTTAGCAATCTTCAAAAATCTCAGAAATTTTCAAAAAACAGTCTTCCAGATGCGTTTACCTCCACTCAGTATTTTCAAGGTTTTCCCAGCCTTCTAAAAATATAGTGTATTTCCTTTCTTTCACCAGTAGATGGCATCATCATCTAAAATTTCAAAATGACGCCCAATCTACAGCTTCTGATTTCTTCATATAATTTCCCCTTTTTTTCAATAATCAGCCCAATGTTTCCAGCATTTTAAAATGCCTTTTCAAAATATTGCCAATAAAATATTCAAATCTAGTCATTCTATATTTTAAAAATTATATCCTCTCTTGGGTTTCATTTTCTTTCGGGTCTGTAGTCTTCCTCTGAGTAATTGGTAGCCTCTTTAAACATTTTGGAGAATTATCTTTTTGGAGTTTATTTTCTTTGGGATTTACTGTCTAGTAAAGAAGTTGAAGATCATCTCACCCAGTTCCAGTCCACTGTTCAAACACTGCTGCAGCACATTTCTTTCTTTGGTTGCCCCAGCTTCCCGGCGACCATAATGGCCGTCTCTCCTTCCTCATTGTTGGATAGGAGAGTGAGCCTCGGATTAAGCAGGAGAGTTGCCCTTCATGATCTGCAAGGTGTCCCTCCTTTCTTTGTCACCCCTACGAGATGACTTTAGCCCTTTATGGGCCCCCAGCAAGGAGAGTTCAGCCTAGGTTCGCAGAGCCCTGCTCCCTACAACTGTGTTGCAGCGATGCCAAACCGGAAGTCTCACCCAGTTTCAATCCTTTGTTCACAAACCACTCCAGCTCATAATCTTCTTGTCCTGGTTGTCACAGCTTTGGCCTTGCCAAAATGCCCATTGTCTCTGCTGCTGATCTGGAGGGTTTCTTTGGATTAAACGAGGAAATTGCTGTTTCCTCGCGATCTATAAAGCGTCCCTCCTTCACCACCTTTCAGAGTGGCTTTGGCCCCATAGGGTCTCCTGGCAAGCAGTTTTATTTATTTATTTAGTACATGGCAAATACATGGACGTATAATGGTTCAAATGTTAATGTCCAGTCCACCCAGCCATTCAAAGTGGTCTATTGTTGAAAAAATCAGACATTGCGTCGGTGTAAGCTCTTGATGGACATTTGGGCACAATGTGATGGATATTTGTCGAGGAGCACCACAGCCACATTGAGGGGTAGAGATAAGATCCCACTTAAACAATGAGTCATGGCAGACACCATGTTGGGTATGGATTCTGTTCAGAGTTCACCAATGCTGGCGAGGAAGGTCAAAACCTGGCACATTTTGCGTAGGGTCATCTATGTAACTGCCTGAATCTGGGCATTCAGCAGCCCATTTGGCTTTCCACTGTGTGTCGATTTCAAAGCAAGCAGGTATCAGCTGGGTTTTGCAAAGCTCCGCTATCCTATATCTGTCCTGCTGTGACGCCAACCGGTCAATCCTCCCAGCTCGATTCTGATTTGGATATATTGTTCTTACTGTATGCAGCACCCAAATTTACAGCATACAGTCACCCCATAAGCAAACTACATCTAGATTTTAATATTTCTCTAACATCTAAATATGTAGCCATACTATTCTGCAGCATTTTTGTAGCTTTCATTACATCAGTATTCTATTGCACAGTATTGTAATACCTGTTTACATTAATAAAGAGGATCAAGATGGAGAGCCTCAGCCTATACTCTCAGCACAAGGGTTGGTCTACTCCACAGCTGAATACTGCGCTCCTGTTTGGCTTAAGAGCTGCTACACTCGCGAGATCAATGCTAGACTAAATGATACAATAAGGATTATAACCGGTTGCATAAAATCTATTCCTACTAACTGGCTTCCCTTCTTGAGCCACATTGCACCACCAGCTCTATAAAGGCAGGAAGCCTTCATGAAGGAGTACAAAAAAATATAAGAAATCCACTTCTTCCTGTGCATACTGATCTTCCTCAACTATCAGTTGACAGGCTTAATCCAGGAAGTCTTCTCTGGCACTTGCTCAACAGCTGTTTAACAACTTTGACATCAACACAGTGGAAAGACAAATGGGCTGCTGAACGCCCAGATTCAGGCAGTTACGTAGATGACCCTATACAAAAAGTGCCAGGTTTTGACTTTCATCGCCAGCATTGATGAACTCTGAACAGAATCCGTACCCAACATGGAATCTGCCAGGACTCATTGTTTTAAGTAGGATCTTATCTCTACCCCTCAATGTGGCTGTGGTGCTCCTCGACAATATCCATCACATTGTGCCCGAATGTCCATCAAGAGCTTACACCGGCCCAATGTCTGATTTTTTCAACAATAGACCACTTGAATGGCTGGGTGGACTGGACATTAACATTTGAACCACTATAAGTCCATGTATTTGCTATACGCTAAATAAATAAATAAAACTAATTCAATTCTGCCCTCAACATAATGTTGTTATACCTATTGATATCTAGAATATTTCTTTCTAGATTCCTATGTTTTGGTTTCATCCCATATAATTTCATTATTTTTTATTTCTATCTACTCTGGCAGAATAATTGTTTAACTTTCTTTACCCACTTCCAAAACATCTTATCTTTCCTTCAAAACTTATGCATTTTTCTCTAATTCTATTTGATTACATATTTTGCAATTCCCTTTCCTCTTTTTTTGTAGCAGTTATTCTCTTGTATGCATTTTGTCCTCATCCACAGACCCTTTCACATTATTCTACGAAGCATTTTGATGAGGGAGAGTTAGTTTGTGAGGTGCTGTAAACTCTTTCTCATGATTTGGCCTGGGAATAATGAATCCTTAGATGCCTTGCTGCTTTGCCTGTCAGAAAGAACATAATGGCAGATTGTTCCTTTTCCATTCTCATTCCTTTTATTTTTTGTTCAAGGTCAATTAGATGACAAAGAAGGAACAGATTTTATTGTTCATTATTTGTACAGTGGTGACAAAAACATAAGTTCTGTATAAGTGCTTAATAATAACCAATAGAATAGAAAGTAAGATAAGCCTCAGTCCTTATTTGCAACACATTATGATTTAACATTGCATTGGTTTTAGATTTTTTTTAATGATGCCTGATGAATAGATTTCAATGTTTTAATTTTTTTATTATTATCAGGAAGAAAAGATGTAGCTTCCACATATGACAAAAACAAATTGAAGAAGACTCTGGTATCAAAGCCAAACAATATTAAATCCATGTTCATGGCTAACACTGGCAAGAAAAATGCTGATGTAAGTTTTAATTTGCATAAAACATATATTTTAGAATTGTATATTGTTCTCTCAAGCTTTTGCTATTTTATTTATTTATTTAAAACTTTTATAAAGCCATCAATCTTACAATCAACTCCCTATTAATTATTTCTTGTTTTCTGAAACTAAGATAAAATATATCATTGCTTACCTTGAATCTGTTTGGAAAATCTTCAAAAGTTTATAGAAAACCTGTATTTTCTTTTGCAGAAAGCAATTGATCTCTCTAAAGATGATTTGCTTGGTGACATTTTGCAAGATCTGAATGCGAAGGTAGGAAATGTATGTTGTATGTATTTGTGGGGTAGATGTTATAAAGAGAAAATATTATTTTGCAACTGCACAACTGTTTCTTGAGGTACTTTGAAAATTCAGATATAAATTTGATAAATGAGTTTTAAAATTATAAGTCAGGTATCTTCATATATGGTTTATTTTTATCCAAATATTAAAAAATGCCTAATAGAAGCTGAATTTGCATGCTGCAGATTGTAAAAGGGGAGCTTAAATTAATAAAATGTGGTTGTAATAGAAGATTGCATTTATTAATTACTTTGCATCCATTTCTGTCTGATGCTTTGTGCAAGGGTGTGGGGATGAGGGGAAGGAGGGAAAATGATATTTCTGTATGTATGTATGTATCAGTATGTATCAGTGTAGTAGACATAAGACTCTTTATTTTGGAAGTTGTATTAAAGCACATCTGTGTTTTTTTTAATAGCCTGTTCATATAGCATCACCAGTTCCAGTGCTTAAAAAAAGGATAATTCTTGGAACACCATTAAATCCTTTTTCTGTGCAATCTAAAGATTCCAAGGTAATGTGTCTTAAATGGGAAATGTTGCTTTTACGCTTTCTAGAAGTTTGATGTTGATACTTTGATTTTGTTTGTTGTTCTAACAAATGGAAAATAATACTGTGTAGTTTATTTAGTCATCAAATTGGGGAAAATGTACCTAGGGGTGCCAATACGATTTTATTTTGCCTTCTGAATTAAATAGACTTGCTATTGTAGGGGACATTTCTTTTATTAATTTCCCTGAAGTTTGTTTTGAACTGACACACATTTTTGTTGAAGTACAGATGGTTTATAATATTGCAATACCAGACTTTACCAAAATGCAAAACTCAGAGGGGTAGGAATGCAACCTCAGTACAAGAAGATAATCACTTGGACAGTGTAGTGAGGTCAAATGTGAGGTGGATTCTGTGAAGTAATGGGAATGAACTATAGATGCATGGTTCATTTGTCATTTTGTGAAATGTTGCTTTCTTGAAGCTTACTGTTAAGGGCTTAATAGTAATCTTAAATAATTCTTGGTTCTTTGAATCATGCTTGTCTCTTAGTTTGTTCTCTTCAGTATATTAACATTCCTTGGCCCTTGGAATCTTTTATACCTGAGTATATTCCTCGCAAGATAATTAGGCAAAGAGGTTTTTATTTCATCGATTGTAATCAGCATCGTATTTCTCCTACACTATTTCAACTTACATACTTGTGAAAAATGTAAAGAAAATCATATCATTTGAAAAGCCTTGCTTATTCCTAGCGCTTGTGAAATTAGAGCAGGTGACAGGTTTTTTTTCTGAAAATGCTAAAGTCCTTAGTGTCATAACTTTGGTCTTCAAAGGGAATGCTCTATTTAGCATATGTTTTCTATTTAAAATGGGAACTGGTGTAAAGAACTAAAAAAATCTAAACAAAAAAAAGGAATGTATGTATTATTTGTAACAGTCATACTACAGTTTATTCTTGTTACATTCATTTATTCAACAGTCATACTACAGTTTATTATTGTTACATTGTGAGCCACTCTGAGTTGTCTGGAGCTGGGCAAAGCCTAAATTGAATAAAATCAATTACGTCGGTGTCCATTTTTAATTGAAATTATTTGTGTTTAATTGAAAATTATAGGTAACTGCTATAGTGAAAAAATCTATCCCTCATGGAAAAAAAGAAATCCCTTCATTACAGTCCAAACATCCAGTCTATTTAGCTAGATCAGAGGCAATCACAGAAGAGAGTATTAATAATGAAAATGGAGTGCAACTGATGGAAAAAGAAGAACTAATAAAAATAAAAGAAGAATCTATTAAAGGTATTTTTAATACTTCTGGTGACCCTACCATTTTCAAATATGCTAGCATTGTTAAATCTACCTTGTAATTATACTCCTTTGCCATCCAGGATTATTTCCCAATTTCAATGTGTGGCTGTTTTAAACCTCAGAAGAACTGTTTATTTCAATGAATTACATTGTACTATCCCACATGTAAGAGCAGCAACAACAATCTAACATATTAACAGTAACACAGATAGATAAAATAATGATAATCAATGTAGTATATTTATAGGCCTGAGTCGGGAAACTGACCAAATATGAAAACCCTACAAACCAGTTCACATCATATGCTGGACCAACACTTTTGAAAGCAGACAGGTCATTAAAGTTGTTTGGAAAACTAACACTGTTGGGACCATTTGGATCTCAGGGTCTGAGGTTGGGGACCACAACAGAGAAGGAAAACGTATTGGTATCGAAGGCATTTTTCTTCCATATCAATTTTGATGCTGACCTGATCAATAATAAAGCTCACTGTACCTTCAGCCTTGAATTTTATTTCTAATATTTGTGAATATAAATTTATTCAGTGACAGAAAGTTTTGATGAAATACATGTGTATAATATTCCTTGGCCTCTTAAATGCAGTTAGCTGAAGTAATCTTCTGAAGTACAAAGGATCCTTGGGTATCTTAGTGCATTTGTCCTGATATGGTCACTCACACCTTGGTTACCTCTCAATTGGACTATTGTAATGCATTCTACATGGGGCTGCCCTTCAAAACTGTCCAGAAGCTTCAATTAGTCCAGTGTGCAGCAATGCGGCAATTATGGACCTATCTAATTTTGATCATGTAATACTGATACTTTGTGAGCTACTCTGGCTCCTGATAGGTTTCCAGATATAGTTCAAATGTTATTTGAACTTTATTTATTTAAAGTTTAAATACTTGAAAGCCCTACTTTACATAGGGCCCTATATTACTTGAGGGAATCCTTCAAGAACCAAGAACTTGCCCCACATGCTCCCACAGGAAGGTGTACTATAAGTGCCTTCTTTTAAATATTGCCCTCTTATGGGACAGAGGAAACATGCCGTTTCAGTGGTTGCCACTGCTGCCTGGAGTAATCCCTCCCACTTATTCCCCCCTTCCAATATATGACTAGCCCAAATTCTTCTCACCTTTAGGAAAACCCTTAAATCTTGGCTCTTCCCCCAGCCATCGGCCAGTTGAATAGGTTTCTTCCATGTGATTGTTTTGTTGTGTGGTCACCATTTTTCATTCTATATGTATATTTTGCCTGTTTGTTGTAGATGGTTCTTTGGATTATTTTTCCTGTATTGTGTTTCAAGTCTACACTGCCCAGAATCTTACTGTTGAGTTTGATAGCTTTATAAATCTTGAAATCAGTCAATCAGGACTTTCCTGGCACTGCCCATATATTCACTTATTAGATGAATTAAATGAAAGTTTAATTCTCTGTGTTAATAGCCCCTTTATATTTGTTTCTAAATACATATAAGTGTTAGGCATCCAGAAAGTATCCGTGATATCAATCACTCCGAGACATTTTCTCTCCATTTGATTTATTTAGAAATAGATCTGGCATGTCAAAGGCAATTTCCCAAAGTGAAAATTTTTCGTGCATTACACAAAATCCACCTTTTCTCCTCCCTTCTCTCCTCCCACTTCTACACTTCATAAATCACGAGAACCAATTAACTGCAACTGGAATTTCTTAATACGACATACAGGGTAACCTTGAACTTTTCAACTCCTCCAACTCCCTTAAAAAATGTGGCAGCTGAATTTCAAAGCTGACAGGCGTCCCCCCTTGAAAACTCCTCCTCCTAAAAGAAAAGAAAAAAAAACCACATACAGGGGTTAATACATTGTCCTTAACCCCCTCCACGAGGACCCTTCGGTTTGTGGGGGAAATCCTCATGGACTTGGTTAACCAATTGATCAGCATGAACATCCCAACTCTTTACCCAACTAGCATCTGAGGGGCTATTCTTTTCATAAGACCAAATATTGCAATTGGCCACGGTGTAATCTAGAATCGAGAATTTTTTGAATTTCATAATGTGTTTCCCTGTGTACCATTAACGGTTTAGGGGGAGCAATTGGCAGTGATCTTATCATTGATGTGGTAGCTGGTTTTAGTAAACTACAATGGAACACTGGATGATTTTTCCCCAATAGTCAAGGAAGACTTAATTGGACAGTGACTGGATTGATTATCTTTGAAATTGGAAACGGACCCAAGAATTTTGGACCCAGCTTCTTACTGGGCAGTTTCAGCCTAAGATATTTGGTTGACAAATATACTTTGTCTCCTACTTTAAAAGGCAGTTGAAGGAATCTATGTTTATCCGCCTGTTTTTTATAATTTTTTGCAGCTTCAGTCAAAGCTTTTTTTGTATCTTCCCACCCTTTCTTTAACGAGTTCATCCATTCTGTTAGGGACATGGATGAGGGAGGTTGTCTAGGTAACTGGCATAGGGACAAAATCCATTCCAGTGTTGATTTGGAATGGAGTCAATCCCGTGCTGCTATGTACTGCATTATTGTAAGCAACCTCTGCAAAAGGTAATAACTCAGCCCAATTTTCTTGTTGATAATTTACATAGCATCTAATATATTGTTCAATCATGGCGTTAACCCTCTCCGCTGCTCCATTACAAGCAGGATGGAAAGCTGAGGATAACCCTTGAGAGGAACCAATGGATTTCAGAAATTCCCTCCAAAATTTTGCGGTAAATTGTACCCCTCTCTCTGATATTACTCTACGAGGTACTCCATGTAGTCTATAGATATGTTTCACGAGCAGCTTTGCAAGTTTTTTCGCAGATGGAAGTCCTTTGCAGGCTATAAAATGGGCCTGTTTAGAGAATGTCAATTATAGTCCAAATGACCGTATTCCCTTCACTCTTAGGTGTAATTCAACAATAAAGTCCATTGCGATTTCTTCCCAAGGTTGGGTTGGTTCAGCAATTTGTTGCAGGAGGCCAGGGGGCTTTCCAGTTCTGTTTTTTATTGTGGCACAAATTGAACAACTTTTTACATAGTCCTCGACATTAGGTTTCATTTTTGGTCACCAGAACTGTCTTCTCAGTAAATGTAGAGTTTTCAGGAATCCGAAGTGGCCTCCCAGCCGGGAGTCGTGGCTATGCTTTAGTACCAGTAGTCTTAGGGTTGTGGGTACATAAAACTTAGTCCCTTTCCAAGCTAGTCCATCATTCATTGTCAGCTCGGTTTGATGGTCCAGGAACTAAGGATCGGTCAATAGGGCCTTTTTCAATTCCGCAGTCAGCTTATTTTCCAGGTGTTTGCGGTTGTGGTTGGCTTGGGCTCAAGTGGTCAATTGGCCTGCCCATTGAGCGTCTGAAATTAAGGCTTGTACTATTTCCTCTCGGCTGTCAAACTGAGGTTTTCTGGACAGAGCGTCCGCCAGTACGTTTTTCCCTCCGGGAATATATTTAATGTTGAAGTTGAATTGCTTGAAATATTGGGCCCAGCGGACTTGTTTGGGCGATAATCTCCTAGGGGTCTTTAGAGCCTCGAGGTTCTTATGATCAGTCCATACCTCAAAGGCTTCTGACGCCCCTTCTAGAAAATGCCTCCAAGTCAATAAAGTCCATCATACGGCGAATGCTTCTTTCTCCCAGACCGCCCACCTTCGCTCTATGTCTGTCAGCTTTTTGGACACATAAGCGCAAGGCATCAGTCAGCCTTGAGAGTCTTTTTGCAGCAAAACGGCTGCTACCACTACATCACTTGCATCCGTTTGGCCAATAAAAGACTTGGTCATTTCTGGGTGCTAGAGGATGGGCTCAGCTGTGAAGAGGCGTTTTAAGGTCTTGAAAGTTTTTTGACAGTCCATAGTCCAAGCCAGGGGTTGACTCGGCTTTGGTTTGGTGGGTGACGGGCCCGTTTTTAATAGTTCTGTCAACGGGAGGGCAACTTCAGCAAGGGACAGAATGAATTGTCTATAGAAGTTGGCAAACCCCAAGAAACTTTGAAGTTGTTTTCGGGTTCTCGGGGGTTGCCAGTCCAGCACTGCTTTCACCTTTCCAGGATCCATTTCAATCGCCAGGTTGGATATTCGGTAGCCTAAGTAGTCCAGCGACTTTTTGTGGAATTCACATTTTGAGAGTTTCACATATAATTTGGCGGCTAGAAGTTTTTCTAGAACTTGTCGGACCAATTGAACATGTTCTTCCATGGTTTCGCTGAAGATAAGAATGTCACCCAGGTACACAAGGATCCCCCGGTAAAGGTGCGGGTGTAGCACCTCATTGATGAGCTGCATAAACACTGTAGGAGCCCCCTGAAGTCCAAAAGCCATGACTTTCAATTGGAAGCTACCCAGAGGGCAGTTAAAAGCAGTTTTTCACTCATCTCCCTCTTTGATGTGGACCCGGTAGTAAGCTTCCCTGAGATCTAGCTTGGTGAATACCTTGCCCTTCGACAGGTGGTTCAATAAGTCCTTCATTAAGAGGGAGAGGATACATGTCTTTGACGCATACGGCGTTCACGCCTCTGAAGTCAACACACAATCTCAACCCGCCATCTTCTCCTTGAACAACATGGGGGCAGCTAATCTTGATTTGGCAGGCTCAATAAAACCTCATTCCAAATTGCTCTCAATGTATTTCTTTAATTCAGACATTTCAGCAGGCGTCATGGAAATACATCTTTGGTTTTGGTAATTTCGCCCCGAGCTCTAATTCTATGGCGCAATCAGTGGCTCGATGGGGAGGTAAAACATTACACTCTTCTTCACTGAATGCTTCAGCCAAATCTTTGTATTGGTTGGGTACCTGGGGGTTATCTGGGAGAAGGTGGGATGCTATGGATGCTGGCTCAGGTTCTGGGTTCAAGCTGACTGGTGGCTTTGTAGTGGGTGGAAGAGGGGGCAATGGGCCCAGTCCAATGAGGATTTTTCTGAATCCATCCTCCCATTTGATCGTCAGGGCCCATTTGTCTAGCCAAGCAAGTCCCAGTATGATTGATTTGACATCTTGGGGGCCACTATGAAGTGTATGAGTTCACGATGGGGCCCTAATTCTATCTTGATCAATTCTGCCATTTGAGTGGCTGCCCCCTCCAATTAAGGTTCCATCCACTTGATCAAATCTTATTGGGCGTTTTAGCGGGTTAGTCTTTATGCCCAATTGTTCAATGATGGGGAGTCCGATAAGACATCTAGAACACCCAGTATCAATGACAGCTTCTAACTCCCCAGCCTCCCCCATGTTTGGTACCACTAACTTGACCTTGATTGTAAAAGTTATGGTGGGATCACTCACCATTGGGTCATCTTCGCAGATTGGGTTCTCGGGGACATGGTGTCAGTCTGGTGGTCCGTTGCTCCCATCTGCTCAGAGGGGGCTTTCCCAGCTGTGTTTGGTGAACCCGCTCCTGCCTGGAGGTCTTCCTTGATTCTTCCGACCTCTAACAGCTGTATTAGACTTTGACTGCGGAGCTTGTGGTACAGGAGCCAGGGCCAGACATTCTGCTGCTCTATGGCTGGCTTGGCCACATTGGTAACAATTCACCACCCTGGTGGGTTGGGTACGAGCAGTTTCGGCTGGTCCAGTTGGCGGTCTCCTAGCCACAATTCTCTTAGGTGGGGCTGCCAGAAGGGGTTTCATTTGTAGTTGCCAGGAGGAAGATGAGTGTGGCCTGGTTTCCTGGTCGGGTGGAGGGGAAGTGGCTGCTGTCTGCTGTCTGGGCAACCCCCCTTCAGACCAGGGCTGTGTTCGTGCTGGCTGCTATTGGCATTGAATCCACCCCTGGCCTGGATAAAATCCCCACCCTGGAGGGATACTCTGCAGGGGGCAAAATTCCTTCTGGAAAATGAGGGGATTGCCTCAGAGGCTGCAACATACCTCTGTCAGTTGATGCTTTTTTCTGGCTTCCTCCAAGTGGCATCTGTATAGTCTCCTCATTCCTCACGATACTTGGGTAAGTGAATATAGGTGGTCTCAAGCTTCCACCCGTCCAAACAGACTGTGAGACCAAACCTGTCACCTTTAAATTCTGGAACTGTTGATGTAAATCTGTCCTTGATGGACTTCCAGGATAAATTTGGGGGGGTGTCTTCTTGAGAGAATTCCAACCCCAATTGTCTCTCCAATCTGACAGAATAGCAATATGCCTGGGGCTAGAGAAAGATTACTCTTCAGACAGCTGGGTTACATCTGGGTTATAACAACTTCTTGAGTTGAAACGCTTCGGTATAGCTCCCAAATCTCTCCTACTGCCATTCTGAAAGCATCCATCATCTCCTCCAAACAAGGGCTGGCAGATTCAATTAATGCTCCGGAGGGAGGGCCCCCACACGCTCCCCCTGCACATCTCCAATTTCGGCTGATTGTTGATCTTTCTCCATCTCTGGGAAAAGAACTCCGGGGTATCAGCCAAGCCCCTTCAAAAAATAAAAGTGGTCTTTGGGAAATAAATGTTAGGCATCCAGAAAGCATCCATGATATCAATCACTTCGAGATATTTTCTCTTCAATTGATTTATTTAGAAACAGATCTGGCATGTCAAAGGCAATTTCCCAAAGTGAAAATTTTTCGCGTCTTACACAGAATCCACCTTCTCTCCTCCCACTTCTACACTTCATAAATCACGAGAACCAATTAACTGCAACTGGAATTTCTTAATACGACATACAGAATAACCTTGGAACTTTTCAACTCCTCCAACTCCCTTAAAAAATGTGGCAGCTGAATTTCAAAGCTGACACTAAGTACATAGCTTACATTGTTTAATTAAATTTTTTACACAGTTGACATTGGCCTCTAGGCTCTGTGTAGAAAAACACTGTTTTTCTTTTGTGTGTAATAATACATGGCAGAAATAATATACTTTAAGAACCAGAATATTCATAATGCTTCTGCAATGCTGAACAGCTTCCTGAGACATTAATCTCTAGTCTGCATCCTAAATATTTATTTACTTGTTCTATTCAGCATCTGGACCCCTAGTCCAGATCATGAGGGCAAAAGAAATATAGAAGGCAATTATTAGGAAGAGAGTGATTCTGAATTGCTATTCTAAAAATGTTTAAGTTTTAACTTCTTATTCTTTTAGATGTTAGTCAAAAGACATGTCTGTTCAAAGACTACCTGCTGGACATAGTAGTTTTATACTTTATTTCCAAGATTTTTATTTGGTGTCATTGTAATTTAATACTGGTTATTTACTCACTGCCTTCTCATGCAATTATATATTCGTGAATTCGCACTACAAAATGCCAAAGAGTATGTTTTTATTCCGATAATGTATTGTTTATTTAATTTTTATTATGCTTCTTTGCCTTGAAAGGTTGAAGAGTAAGTTAAAATATTTGATAAGTAAATTATATTACATTCTACAAACTAAATGTAAGTCTCTGAAAGTGTCTACACATTCTTTACAGAAGATGAGCAAGATAGAATTATTTTTGATGATGGGGATTTTGATGAAACTATGCCAGGAATGGAAATTGTGTCAGAAGAGGTCACATTCTTCAAGGAAGAGATGAAATTGGAAGAGAAGCAAATGCTGTAAGTAAATGTTGTGTAAACAGGTGCGTATTTGTTGTCCTGTCAACATTAATAATGTTTTCTTAAAGCTGTATTATCAAGATACATAGCTGACCCACATAGATTTTTTTAAATTATAAAATCTTTCTTCAGAATTTGTACAGTTGGAGAAAGAGGACTTCTTTGAATAAGTAGTCATCTCAAATATATCATTTCTTGTTTAACATGGGCTCCAGATGTTCTTCCCTACATGATAAATCCTGCTGGGATAGAATTGATGAACATGAAGATGAGTTTGTATCTTCAGAAATTCAAGTGGATTCTAGTCAGTTCCAATTTATAAAGGGAGAAGAGGGGCAACAGATTTTCAAGTTCTACTGGCTGGATGCTTATGAAGATCAATATAACCAACCAGGTATGTTTATATTCAATATATAGCTGTCGGATTCCAGACTTCTACTTTGTGACCCCAAAGCTTTCTCTAATGGTAGTTCCTCTAAAACCAAATAAAACTGGAGAAAAATAGAGCCTAGTTTGAATCTACATGTATGATATACCTTAAGTAACTATCATCTAATTCAGTATAGCCTTCGGTTTTTAGAGTGCTTCAGGAAACAGAAATAGAAGTGAAAAGAATTTTCCAGAAACCTGTCATATTTTTCCATTGCAAACATGGAACTAAAAGCTTCCTGAATATATAGAGCTTAAAAATTATGTGTGAATTGTAAGAGCCAGGGAACTGCAAAAGGTTCCATTGTACTAGTTTCATTTTTTTAAAATCTAGATCTTTACTACCATTTAGCCCTGTTCATTTGCACAATGGATTCAGGAAGGGGGAGAGTAAAGTTTAATTACCAATGCTTCATTAATAAAAAGCAAGAAATCAATCAAATAAGATTGTGTGTGTGTGTAGTGTGTATTCGCTATGTCAACTACAGTATACAGAAAGGTTTGTGACAGTAGGTAATAATCACTGAAGCTCTAAAGAAATTTGTGTCTAATACGAAAAGGAAAAAAGTGGCCCCAAAGACCCTTGTACAGTGTGATCTTTTATCTTAGATTCAGTATAGTAGCTTCTGAATGATGTATAATTATGAAAAGACTTCTGTTCCTTGATTATGAAAAGAGATCCTATCATCATAACTTCAAGGATGAATAATAAAGATTGCACCTGGTTTCAATTAGTAATGTGAAGAGAAAAAAATTGCTGTTACTTTTTGTTTTAAAAGAATCATCATCCTTATATAGTAGCATATGAGATATTAACTAAATTATGTGGAAGTCATCTTATTGCAAAATGAATGAGAATATAGTTTGAAAAAGACTTAAATCAGCAATAAGTTTCAAATGGGTGAATTAATCAATGTAATAAAGCCATACCTGGGCATTTTATGAATCAGGCCCAATACATTCAATAGGTGTCTGAGGCCTTCCAGGCGTGGGGAGAGAGGAGGCTCCTGTGCTGCTTGGCTTAACCAGCTGAGACATTCCAAGTGTGATGGGGCAGGGAGAAGGCCTCTTGGGAGTGCTTGTGGGTAAGGGAAGAAGCCCATACACTGCTAGACTTAGCAGGCTGAAGCCTTCTGGTGCATGGCAGGTTTCCATGTGCCAGTGGACCTCAATATTAAAATTGCATATTAAAAGAAACAGAGCTATATGATTGAACAAGTGAATAGAAATTCTAGAAAAGCCTATTTTCAATACCCTTTCATGAAAAGATGCTTGCATAGTATCATGTTATGTGCCTTCATACTATAAAATTCTTGAAGCAATCTCACGTCAGTGTTGACTTTCAGCAGATGGAGTTGTCAAATAGAGAGTACAAAGTGGAAATCATTTTGTTCCCAAGGGTGAATTAGTGTGCTTATTTAGTAATTCTTAATATTATTGTAGCTTTTCCATTAGCAGCTGTGCTAAACTGTTCTGATTAATGTGAATTGTCTCTATTGTTTTCTATCATTTTAGGAGTGGTATTTCTCTTTGGGAAAGTATGGATTGAATCAGCGCAGTCCTATGTGAGCTGTTGCGTAACAGTAAAAAATATTGAGAGAACTATTTATCTTCTGCCACGTGAATCGGTACATTTTTTTATGTTACAGTATTCTCATCTGATAATGTTTCTCATCTGTTTTATAGAAGAGACAAGGCAATAAGGCAAACATAAATGACACTGTTTGAGTCTATGTTAGTGGGGCGTGTAATTTAATGGGGTGAAAATTATTTTTTTGCCATTTTTTTCAATGAGGGGTTTTAAAAATGAGCTTTTACACCAGGAATTCAAGTCTGTTATTTTTGCAATTGCACAATGTTTAGTTTGGTATGGTAATTCCATGTCTGATCATATACCCTACAAAATTCTCTTGTAACCCAAATACTGTTAACTTCATCTTCTCAAAATTACACCTTGTGCTACAAAAAATAGAGTTTTCCCCCGCATGAATCTTATCTAGCTAAGCAAAAATAATCCATGCAATCATAAGCTAACATCAGAAAGCAATTATCTAAGTTACAAAAATGTTTAAGCGAGTTTCATCAAATCTGTTTTGATTCTTGTTTTGATTCTTTGACATCAGATGCAGACTTGCTTGTTGGCCTCTGATATAACCCTCATGCTTTCTCATGTGTATACACTCTGCTTGCTGCCTCTGGCACCTGTTTCATACATCTCTCTATTGATTGGGCATGACAGAGCCACTGTGGTACTTGCATTGTTTCATCAGTGAACTTGTTTATTTCCACTGAAGTCAGTTTGCATGTGCAAGGTGGCTTATATACACCTCCAGACCAGTCAATTGGCTGTAGCAGAATGGTTGCTCTCACATTGATTAAAAGTGTTTTCTTGCACGTACAGAAAAATATCCCGCGCATCATCGTCTGCACCACTCAAGTCAATTATCTTTTGCACACCAGCTCTCCTCTTTTGAATGTCATCTGAACACAAGAGCGTGTGGATTATCATTTCACTGAAAGTATACCATGCTGAGCGCTGAATGGTTGGCAAAACAGCATCTACAACAGCCTCCTTTTGCAGTCTAACTTGTTGCAGCTGGAATAACACATGATGCGGGCCTTCAATCCAGGAATGTTTTATTTGATTTTGAACCAGCAAGGGTAGTACACACCAAAGATATATATCACTACCATTCTTAAGCTTTGAAGAGTTTTGCCTTTAAAGCCATGTTTTGAAACCTATGTTCAAAGCCTATTTGTATTTGTTAACCAGCATGAATGGCTTACAGGACCAATTCCAGAAGAGCCAGATCTGTGGGAAGTTCTCCTGTCCTTATTGCCTGTTTGAATCTGTATCATACTCTTGATCAATAGAGAGATCCTTTACAACCCTGACACTCAGTGAAATGAGAGGCTCACCAGTTGAATCTCTGGTGAATGAAAGATCAATGTAAAGTTCTGTTGCAGGGACTAGCATATTGCCAATTTTACCTGCCCATTTGTTTTTAGGCAAGGTCTTCCCATCCAATTTTGTGATTAACTATCATAGGGGCAACTCATTCATGTGAAGTGCACACACCTACCAAATCAACTTCCGGTCAAGCCTGACCTTTACCCAGTGCATGACACCCCCTTCTCAGCCAGTATTAACATTTGTAGAATTTCTTCCAATGGCCTTCAAACTTTTGTCAATACCTTTCTTCTTCATGAAATACACCATATTATCTGCAATCACATGCGGTTTTCCTGTTTTTGAGCCTTTCTCTGGAGTGAGGATAAAGATATATTCTACTTGGTTCATGCACACAAAATAATGTTCTTCTTTGATGGTGCTGGGGAATTGCTGGTTTGAATTTTTGCTTTCAGTGTAACATTAGTTGCATCTATACTGCCATCGAAGAAGATGCTTTTTATTTTGTCCTTCTTACAGCTCATCAAATTCTTGATCTAGGGACTTCATACTTTTTCCTGGGCTCTCTTGACTTTATTGTGGTCAACTACAAGTCTCGTGTCTTCTTTGGTGGTCAAACCAGCATCTTTGAAGGCAGCTGTGGTAATGGCAGCAGTGGCATGTAGAGCAACACCATATCTTATGCTCTGCATAGTGACATTTGTTATTTCTAATCTATTGTAGTCTTTTCTTTTGAAGTACGGGGCATATATATTTGGTCTAAGGCCTGTTCATAATTTCCATCACATTCCTCTTCATCTTCGGTTGTCTGTCCTTCATATTCCTCATAAGAGATAATTACTTCATTTGTCAGTATCGAAATGTCTGGAATACTTCTCTACTTATATTTAGCAAGCCTTTGTCTCTCATTGTCTTGCTGCTTTTGCCTTTTGCTTAATTGTTTCTGCTCGGGCACATCTGGCAAACCAATCTGATGTGACCCAAAAGAACCAATCTTGTCTCTCTGACCTTTAACGAAAACAAGTTCCTTCAGTGATTTCTTCATCTCAGGGCAGGTACGGTCAATGTGAGCTTTTTGTAGCCAGCAGGCCAGCCAAATTTGGCACACAGAACAATTTTCATTTGCAGTTGAGAATGTCAAACAATTTGTCAAGTTTCACAGTAAAAATCTCTTTGACATTTAATTTTCCTCTACCAAGAGATCCAACTCTCTTGGATCTTGTTCAAGATTGTCACTCGTGAATTTACAACAGGGGTCAGAAAAGAGCTGTTTGCTCATTCCCACTTTTCAAGCACTTTTGGATATATGTCTCTTGCAAGACTGACAGTTGGGTAGTTTCTAGCATCACTACTTTGTTCTCTTAACAGTAGGCCATATCTGAGAATGTCTCGCAGTGTTGGGAGTTTAGATGGCAACAAATCTTTGCCAGTCCCAATTAGGTTGCTCATATGAATGAATTTTCCCAGTCTTGTTCTTTTTTTATAAGCCATTACACACAGGAAACGAGGCTAGCAATATTAATAGTCAGAAAAAATAACATTGAAAAAAAAGAAAGACAGCTGAATCTGTGAAATGAAAGAAAAATGTTAAAAAGTTATGATATTTATATAGTTATTTACCAAGCACATCTAAATTATATTAAAGTAACCAAAATATCTTTATAATCCCCAAGGCATGTCACAACTTTTGAGCACCCATGTTTGGAAATTGAAAATTGAAAAATTTGACACACCCTAAAGAGAATCAAATGTGAAAGTGAAACTATAGATTAATCAGTAAGTCTACATATGTAACACGAGACCATAATATATAAAAACCAAAAAGCACTTGGGAGTACTACGATTCCAATCTAAATTGCTGCTCTTGCATTTTATTTTAAGTAGTTTGAAATAGTACATAGGCTATTTAGTAGCATCTCACTGCTTTCACAACCTACCACTCTAGCCTGGATGCTTTGTGTAAACCTCTTATTTTTCATTCGCAGCTGAAATATAGCTATTCGCTTTTCTTTTTTTCCTTTCACTACCTTTTCTGGATTTGTGATGGTGGCTGAGTGCTAAACTGGTTCTTTGCCTTTAAGTAAGTCTGTTATACAACAACCAACCCAAATAATTCATATTGGGTTAAATAGCAAAGTAGAAATTTTAAAACAATAATAGCTATGGTCTGAGCCTCCAATGATAATTCTGATTTATTGTATCCAGAAAGCAATTTTCTGGGAGGTTACTTGAAGAAAACTACCTATTTATATTTTAGAGAAATACTTGATTTTCTGTAATCTTGAAACATATACATTGGTATTGCAATGATTGTAAACTTTCTTCTTAAAGCGAATTGAGTTAATTTCTGAAAAAGAAACAATGATTCCTGTGACTATGATGGACATCTATCAAGAATTTAATGACCAGATTGCGGAGAAATATAAGATTATGAAATTCAAATCCAAGGTTTGTTAAACATTCTGTCACTTTCCAATCATATGCTCCTAAGCATGGAAATCTGATTTTTTTTTTCAGTCTCCATGGGGAGGAATATTATGAAGTCCCTACATTTAAAGGAACAAGAATTAATAGCCAATTGTTTTACTGAAGCAGAAATTTGAGAAATGTGAGGCTGTTTATCTTTCTTGCTTATGGGATATACAGTAGCACATCTTCTTTAAATTGACAATATCCGGGGCACATCTCATTCCCTCTAATTTGGTGCTCCTTTTCTTTTGAAATAAAAGAACATAATATAAGAAAAAAAGTGAAGCCCAGTCATACCTGAGAAACTGAATATCCTATAGTTTCTGATGTACATATATTGCTCTAGTTCTTTTTTTACATATTTTTTTAGTGAATATGTCTTCATTGATAGTTCAGAGATGCTTAAGTACTAGGAATCTAGTTTCATTTCTTGTTGAATTATTCTTTATTATATTAGAACTATATGAAATATAGGATTAAACAAAAACTACTAGGCATATTGCATACTGTTGCTTTAAAAATATACCTAAGTAGAACATAAATTGATGATTTCTATACTGTTAGGTATGAGAATAAAGAATGACAGGAAAAATCACCATTGTGTCCTTTAGTAGAAAACAGTGAAATTTTAGATATAATGGACAAATTTAGAAGTTATGTTTTCAACTTCATAAATCACAACATAAGGATTTGGAAATAAATGAGTGATCTTTTTCTCCCATTCCCAGTTTCTACCTCTGTTTTGCTATTTAAATCCTATTTTAAATTTGGTCTATTATAGGTAGTCCTTGCTTAATGTTCATAATTGGGACGAGAATTTCCACTGCTAAGCAAAGTCATTAAGTGAAATATCATATAACCATACCGCTTAGTGAGGGCAGTTACGGTAGTCCTAGTTGCGGGCATTAGGCAAGGACCACAGCTCATTAGATGAGAACCTCATGGTTCTCTTGCCCTGCCATGCTTGTCTCTGCTTCAGTTCCTCTCATCGGCCTGTCTCCTCGCCATGTGTGCCCTTTGGCCACCTTTCACTCCATTGCCATAGCCTAATCCCTGCTATCCCCTCATTGCCCTCAGTTGACCTTCACTATTTTCTTTCTCTTGCTGCTGACAAAACGTATCCAACTGAGATAACTGCTGGCCCTTTGTGATGCTGCATGATGCTTCCTGACATTGTCACAAGTCTTCCTGAGAAGATAGGCAGGTGGTGGCAGTTGAAGTGCATGTATATATGAGTTAAATAATAATGTAATCTTCAGGTTATGTTTAAAGAGAGAGATCTGTATTATCATAAAATGGATTTCACAGTACAAAATTTAAAACTAAAAACAGAGTAAATGTTTTAAACAAAAGAATTATGCCATTCAGAATATATTAGTGCCTGATATATATATGATATATGATGTATATCTTTTTATTTTTAATAAATATATTTTTCATAGAAAGTGGAAAAGTATTATGCGTTTGAGATACCAGATGTTCCTGCAAAATCTGGCTATTTAGAAGTTAGATATTCGGTAAGTAAATTGTAGTATAAAATGGTTGAAGAAACATCAAGTCTATTAGTACATGTGTGTGTGCATCTAACTTTTTAAAAAATACAGTAATTTTATGATTGAAATATTCTATAGTATATATTAAAATCTAATAGGTTAAAATTTAAAGTTATAAAAAGATGCAAATATTGCTCAGTTCATATGTTTGCGGACTAATTATAACTTCAAAAGTGCTACTTGCAAGGAACAGAATTTGTCAGAAGATTAATCTGAGGAACCAGAAAATTATTTGGATGTCTTAGAGTGATAAGACATTTAATATTATCACTTGCACAGAAGCATGTACCTCCATCTACTGTATGATTCTGAATTATTTTAGAATCTTTGTTATTATAGCGTAAGCACCCTTTTTTCCTATCTTGGCAAAAATTACTACAATCTTTTATGAATTAGTAACATGAACTGAAGGGGATTCATACCAAATATGAAATAATGGCTTATGTATCATAGAAAATTATTTATTTGTGTTCCCTGTAATTATAAAAATTAAAAAATTAACACAAATACTATTGCAGTATATCAATGGAAATTGTTAAGTTTTGGATATGGGATATTTGAAGTAACTCTTATCACTTGAATCCGTTCATTGCATTACATTACAGTTTCTTTAACTATATATCAGAATTCATTGGATTCAGAAACATACTAGCCATTAATTGTCACTCTGCTGACAATCCTCAAAATTCATCAATATATTTTGTATCTTCATACAATACCTGAATATTTTTAAAGCACAACATAAATTGATTACAAGTTATGGAAGCTGCATAAAATGCACATTATTGCTCCTAGGAAATTTTAATTTTTAATGCTTTACATTTCTTATGAGCATTTCAGTACGGGTTTCTGGTTTAAAGGCATTTTTTTTCTTAGTATAATGAGTTATTATTTGCCTCTTTTGTACAAACTGTAGAAAATGGTCAGTTATACAAATTGGCAAAGTTTTGTTTCAATTTAATAGTAAAATAGTTTAATATTTCAATTTTCAGGCTGAATATTGTCGACTACCACAAGATCTGAAAGGAGAGACATTTTCTCATGTATTTGGAACAAACACCTCAAGTCTAGAGCTCCTGTTAATTAGCAGGAAGATTAAAGGACCAAGTTGGCTGGAAATAAAAAATCCACGTATGAACCTTTTATGTATTATATGTCTACACAAATGAAATGTGGCATTCAGGACAAAGTTCAGTCAGATACATGTAAAAGGAAAATCTGCTTAGTTTATGATTGCTCTGTACATTTTTTGGGTCAAATAAACTCCATCTAGCAGCAGTCGGAGATTTTGCATGGCTCATTTTTTAATGACATTGTTTTATGACATACTATTTTATAAATATAAATTTATTTTATTTAAGGATACCTGTTATATAATTTAGATGCATATAATGGATTAATCTAAATATATGGCTTATATTTGAAAAGTTCAGGCTCCAGTTCTACAAACATATTATTAAATTGCAAAAGAGCTCTGGTGGCACAGTGTGGTTAGAATACAGTATTGCAGGCTGACTCTGCCCATAGCAAGGAGTTCAGTCCTGACCGGGTCAAGGTTGACTCAGCCTTCCATCCTTCTGAGGTCAGTAAAATGAGGACCCAGATTGTCAGGGGCAATAAGCTGACTGTAAGCCACTTAGAGAGGGTTGTAAAACACTATGAAGCAGTATATACGTCAGCGCTATTGCTATTACTATTACTGCAAACTTTTATTTAGCAAAATAATTGCATTAACCATATTTAGATATGAGTATGCATTTGTTTATGTCTAAAGAAGGCTTCTGTGTTACTTCAGAATTGTTGAGTCAGCCTGTCAGTTGGTGTAAAGTGGAATTAATGGCACTAAAACCTGATTTAATTAATGTGCTGAAGGATCTTCCTCCACCACCTCTTGTGATCATGTCCCTTGCTATGAAAACAATTCAGAACACGAAGACCCATCACAATGAGGTAAACTATGAATATTGTGGGTTGAGAAAAAAACAAAATGTGATGATTTGACAAAATGTTCCTTAGCTGTGCAAGTTTGTTTTTTATATTCTTCGGGTTTGAAGTACATTTTTGATATAGTGCTCATTCTTTTTTGAACACAAGACCCTGAAGCATTTGTTCTTGACTGTCTTCTTAATGATCAGTAACTTTTTGAAGGTTTTGAATATCTATTTGGAGAAAACTTATACAGTTTACTTACAGAACAACATATTAATGTAGAAAATTAGAAAACAAATAAGCAAAATAGAAAAGGAATATAGAAAATGAAGTTGAAAGCATTATTTTCTAAAAAGAATACAGATTTTGTTGCATACTGATACCATGTTTCCCGAAAGTAAGATCTGGTCTTAAAATTTTTTGCCTCCAAAAGAGGCATTAGGTCTTGTTTTTGGGGACGTCTTTTCCACTGTCTCATCTCGTGGTTGTGGCACAGACAGCCCTGCCCAGCAGGATCCTGTGTGGCCACTGCTGGCCTACTTCTGCGGCTGCTTGTCGCCGCTCGTGCACGGTGCCCACCATCAGTTTTGCCATCAGCGCCCTTCAGGAAAGGCCTATGCAGCCGAGAAATGAGCTTGGATTGATGCGCATGACGCTCGTTTCATCCTCAGAGGCCTTTCAGCATCAATCCGGAGCTCATTTCTCGTCTGCACAGGCCTTCCCTGAAGGTCTCTGATGGCGAAAAAGATGCCGGGGCGACGTGCGCAAGTAGTGGCACCTGGCCGCAGAAGAAGTGGACCAGCAAGGCAATGCAGGTGTTGAGGCATGGGAGGCCTGGCTGCAACTGTCCTAAGGTAAGCAGGTGCAGGGCACATTGGGCAGCTCTACCCCCCCATCTTCGCCCTAGCTTGATTTTTACCTATGCACCTCACCCTACTTTGTGCAACCAGGTGCAATGGAGGGGGTGGGGTCTTAACTAGGGCTTATTTTGGGGTTAGGGCTTATATTGGGTGCATGTGTAAAAATCAGGGTGGGGCTTATTTTTGGGATAGGTCTTGTTTTCAGAGAAACATGGTAGCAACTAATTTCTAATTGTCAGCATGGAGACAACCTTTCCATTTAGAATAGAATATTCTTTGCTGGCCAAGTGTGATTGGACACATAAGGAATTTGTCTCTAATGCATAAGCTGTCAGTATACATATAAACAACAAAGTAATATAATCATAAGATACCACTAGTAGAAGGTAATAGGGAAGATGAGAAGGATAATAATAATAGTACAGGTCTACTACATGAGTAAATATCCTTAGACATAAGAGAGTGCTGTGAGAATTAGGTGTTCAGCACAGCGATGGCGTGAGGGGAAAAACCTCTGTCTAGCTGTTTTGGCATGCAATGTTCTATAGTGGTGTCCTGAGGGAAGGAGTTGAAATAGTTTATGTCCAGGTTGTGAGGTGTCTGTCGATATTTTTTCAGCTCTCTTTCTGGCTTGTGCAATATACAGTTCCTCAATGAAATGCAGACTGGTTGCAATTGTTTTTTCCGCAATCCTAGCTGTTAATTGAAGTCTGCAGCAGTCCTGTTTGGTTGTTGTACTTATGCTTGAATTGTCAAAATTTGCTCAATATCATTACTAAGAAACTTTTTTAAAAGTTTGTTTTTTCTTTTATTTCCCTTGCTCCAGAAGTTTAACTTTTTAATACAATTATTATTTTCTATCTCTTCAAAAATGTGTAATTGAAATGAGTTGGTAAGAAAGTATGTTCTCATTTTAATTGTTGCTATTTGAAGTAAGGGTTTTGTAATTGCCCAAAATGTGAAAAATAAGAAAGTGATGAGCTAATTTTTAATTAGTATGAGTTGCATAGAGAAATTGTGTTTACATAGCATGTAAATAAAAGTGTTTCTTGACAGATTGTTCCAAATAAAACCAACATGTAGTCAACTCTGAATAATGATGCATGGCTAGATTTATTGAATAAACTACTAAATCTATGCTTATTTTTAACAGGTGTTAACAGATGAATGGGAATATGACTTCATTAATGTCTTTCTCATTCTTTTACTGTTTTTCTTTGAGTAGATTATGGCTGCTACAGCTTTAGTGCATCACAAATTTTGTCTGGACAAAGCACCACCTGAGCCTCCCTTTCAGACCCACTTTTGTGGTACGTATAATTTGAAACTTACTGTATTAATTTGCTCTTAATTATTCCTCTGCTTTCAAAATAAAAATTTTAATAGGCTTTTGAACAACTATTACTCACCTGTAGGCTTGGTCTTATTTTGGGCAGCCTTGCTGCCATATCAAGAACATTCTAGTTTAATGTGGACTATTCTCACAAGCATAAGAATTATTTGAAAACTGCCAAAAAAAAGTTTTACTGAGTTTTAACACCAGTGTTTACATTTCACGATGGTCACTATTGATTGAAAACCCTCTCCATATTTGATTTGGCCTTCTCTCAGAATAGTATAGCATTAGGGATGAGAAGCAACTTTAATGAATATGGGCAACACAATATCAGTATTTACAAATTTGTCAAAGATGATGTCTATATTGACATCTAAATAAGAGTTGAATGTAAACAATTGTGGTTAATGACTTGAGACAAAAATTTAGGATTATACATCTTTTTTTTTTGTAAATTTTATTTGAGTTTTCACAAAGAGAAAAAAAATACAAATAAAACATCTTTTTTGAAAGTAGCATAACCCCGGGTTACATTTCTTCATACAGACACAAATTCAGGTTCATGCTCATTTTTATATTCTATTCCATATCATTACTATTTTACATTTTCTGCATAGCTTCTCCCCTCTTTTAATTTTCTCAATTTTATTTTAATTATCTCATCTCAATTCAAATTATTGTATTTATATTTTTTGTCTGTCCTGTTTCAATTATCTATTATCTTTTCTCATTAAACAAAATTTCTCCTGTAGTTACTGTTTGGAGTATGATGCCTTTATATCTTTTCCCTAAAGTTGTAGCATTCAATATAATACATAACTTCCATCCGGATTCTGCTTGGTACATTCTTAAAATACACACTGTATTCTTAAAAAAAGAAAAAAATTATAAATGTATATAATTAAAACAACATTCCATTCCAATTCAATTCTATCATTAATATTAATATTCATTAAAATCTTAACATCTTTAACATTACTTTTCAATTAAATATCATACTTCTATGGGAACAATTATAAGCTTTCCATAGTTTCCCCCCCTTCACTTATATTTTATAAAACATTAACTAATTATTCACTTATTTTATTCACAAACATTTCACTAAATTACACTGTTTTATCCCTCATTTTAATCATACGTTGTTTCCAATTTTCTAAAATTATTTCTATTACTAATATAACAATACAATCTTATGTACCTTTACAGAATCCCCTTTTCAGTTAGATTTTCACCCATTATCTCTAAATAGGTCCTGTTTCTCTATATCTTGCTCCTTTGTAACTTCTTTTCCTTTCCTTCTTCCCTCTCTTCTTCTCTCTCCCCTTTTTATCCCCTTGTCTCTCTACCTCTATTTCTTTCTTCTGTATTCCCCTTTTCTGTTGCTTTCCAGTATTATACTTATTTTTCGAATTATTTTTCTTTTCTTTGGTTGTTTTTTTAAGTCTTAAATTCTCCATTCTCTTTCCCCCCTTTCCTTTTTCTTCCCCACATAAAATTGCTTGTTCATTAAAGATGGCTTCTTCTTTGTCCCAGTCTTCTTGTTTTGCAGTCGTTTCTTGTTGTTTCTCATAGTTCCAAATCTCCATTTCTAAGAATTGAAAAACGAAGCCAAAAGAACCCTTCCCTTCTTGTGCATCTTCTTTGTACTTTTTAAGTTCCATTTTCAATTCATCCAGAAGTGGTGCCATTGTATAAATTTTTAAACAACCACCCAATTGATTTTAGTCATTCAAATATAATAACCAAGAATCCAAAGATCACCAAATAATCCAAATACACGCAAGCTGTTTCTTTTTTGCTCTTTTTTCCCCCCACTTTCTCTTCCTGGGGTTACTATTTAGTTGCAAAGTTTCAGTTAAAATGTATCTTTAAGAAGTCTTGTTGAAGTTTTACTGTAGATTCTTTTTAATTCCAGGCAGTCTCCTCCCTCTTCCAGATCCTGCCCTTATTCTTTTTCTCTCCCTTCCTGCTTATGAAAAAGAAAATTTTTAATGTCCAGAAATCTTTATTATCCCTTTGGCATTTTGTTTTATTTTCAGCTTAATTGCCTATTGATGTCAAAGCGGATTTTTCTGATTTCTTATTTAAGTCTCTTAGTTGTCAGTATAGGGAAGGAGAGAGAAGAAAAAAAAAAGCCTAACCTTTCCCTTTTCACTTTCCTTCGCTGCTTCCGACTCTTCTTTGGGAGCGATGTTATTTTTTGTAAGTTTAAATTCCAGGGTACCTTGGTTGTTGCTTTTACAATTTAACCCGGTCAGCCAAAACTTTCGCTTCTTATCTTCCTCCTGCACATTCTTTTCCGGTCGAGTTCTTCTTTGTGGTGGCTATTTCTGACCACCGTTGCAACCAACTTCGGGAAAGGGAGTAATGGCCAGCTGAGGAGGAGAGATGCGGCTCTCCTCGACCATGCTGGCGGTCTCCCCCCTCTTCACCACCTCTACGGGGTGGCTTAGCCCCGAAACCAGCCGGTTCGGGGCGCTCCAGCGGCGAGCCCAGACAGAAACCGTGCATGATCGCGGATTTCTGTCTGTCGCCGAAGCCCTTCAAACTGGAAGTCCCCAGGATTATACATCTTAAAAGAGATCAGTGCGTATTTGGGTATCAAGAAAAGAGCAGCAACATTGCTTTAAATAGCTAGCAATTATTTGCCACAAGGTGGATAATAATTCTTTTTTAACTATAAAAACATTCTTACACAAAATATGGTTAAAGCAATGTTAATAAAACAGACAAAAATCTGTATGGAGATCCATGATCTCTTAAATAGCATTCCCCCCACCCAATTCATAACTAGTCTTTTTTCCTCTTTTCCTGGCCATAGAATGCAGGAACTGAGAAGGACTTTTTCAAAGAGCATTTGAAATTAGGACCAGAAATTAAGGCATAATGCCTAATCCTACTTTATTAGGTGGAAATGGTATATGAGAAACAAAGCTAATCTGAAGTTTATTATGATATAAGGATGAGAATAGAGGATGTAGGTAACATTATAAGAAATTTTAGGATTAATGAAATAAAATTTATATTATGCTTTGTGAATGCATGAGTTTCATCCAGTTGGAAAAAGCAGCTAGGAATGGTTTATTTCTTGTACTCATGTCTTGTAAATAAAAAATAAGGAGATTTTGAAGGCTATAGTAATTGAGGCAGAATACGTAGCTGAAGTCTTGTAAAGAAGTTAATTCTAGAAAACAAAGATTGACTGAATTATAATTGTGTGGGGTAAATAATGTCAAAGAGCATAGAAAACTGGTGGAGAAATTGCATTTGAGTAAATATGCTTAAAATGTTTGTGAGATATCCAGTTAGACCTTTCAGTTAACAGATAATCTGAATCTGGAAAATCACTGAGATCTGACATAGAAGTATATAGTTTGGAATCATCAGTATATGGATGTAATGAATACTGGTATTCAGTAGTATTGGGCGTATATGTGCTTGTGCATGTCTCCTCACAGACATGCAGAAAATAAGGGACAAGAGTGATCAGAAAGGAATAAATGTGGAATTTCATACAACTTTCCTCAAAGCATTGTAGAATATGAGTTAAAATTTGCTTCTAAAGTATGAATTTTGGTTTATGTTTTTTAATATATTTTGCAGTTGTTTCTAAACCAAATGATTGCATTTTCCCATATGATTTCAAGGAAATTGTTAAACAAAAGGTAAGCTTGTTTTTTTTAACTCATTGCTTTGTATTCTGTAATCTTCCCCTTTGGAAAAAAATTAAAATCTTATGGTGACAAAGATTCTTTTCACTAGATAAATGGCTGGCAACCTTTTGCGCACCAGAAACTGGTTCCATGGAAAGATGTTTTTCGCAGATCGGAGGGGGCATGGTTTTGCGTGCTGTCTGCATACTGTGGGTGGGGCTTCACTTGTTTGCGCGGCTCAGTTTTTGGCAAGCCACGGACTGGCATTGGTCCATGGACTGGGGGTTGGGGACCCCTGCACTAGATAGTGATGAAAATGTTGATTCTGACTTTTTTTCCTAGATAAATATTTTATTATTAACAGTATTAGAAACTCACTTTCTCACTTCAAGAATCAGATCCAAGGCCCTGATAATAATTAAGTTTGCCCTAGGATATTCCAGTGATTGTGTAATCCCAGATAATGAATCTGGAACATAATTTGTGAAAAATTTGTTTCCCTGTAAGGTTGAAATGTATTCAGATTGGTGTCAACTTACGTGATTACATTCCCTATGACAATCTATCCCACACATGGCCCTTCAGGTCTCCACAGGGCATTCTTCACCATTATAACTGAGTTGTCCTTTCCTCGTTATTTCCATCTTTCCTAGTATTATAGATCACGAGAGCAAGGGAGAGTATACAGAATGGTCTCAATCCTTTGCTGACCTGGAGCCAGTCTGTTTTATTATGTTTCATATGCACTGGTTTTTTGCCTTATGGAAAGGTTGTATATGAGGATGAGATATTCAGATTAACAGTCCAATTCTACTCCAACCCCCTGCCCAAGCAGGATACCCTGCCTATACCATTTCTGACAATGGCAGTCCAATCTCTTCTTGAAAGCCTCCAATGATGAAGCTCCTACAACTTCTGAAGGCAAGCTGTTCCATTGGTTGATTGTTCTCACTGCCAGAAAATTTCTCTTTATTTCCAGGTTGAACCTCTCCTTGATCACTTTCCATCCTTATTCCTTATCTGGCCTTCAGGTGCCTTGGAAAATAGTTTGACCCCCCTCCTCTCTGTGGCAGCCCCTCAAATATTGCAACAGTGCTATCATGTCTCACCTGGTCCTTCTCTTCACTAGACTAGCCAAGCCCAGTTCCTGTAACCATTCTTTATATGTTTTAATCTCCAGTCCCCTAATCATCCTGGCTGCTCTTCTCTGCACTTTTTCTAGAGCCTCAACATCTTTTTTATAATGTGGTGACCAAAACTGGATGCAGTATTCTAGGTGTGGTCTTACTAAGGCTTTATAGAGTGGTATTAGTACCTCACTTGATATTGATTGTATCTGTCTGTTAATACAATTTAGGATTGTGTTTGCTTTTTTGGCTGCCACACTGTTGGCTCATATTTAACTGGTTGTCCACTAAGACTCTGAGATCCCTCTCACAGTTACTGCTATTAAGCCTGGTTTCACCCAGTCTATATTGTTGCAAGAAAGCTCACTACAAAGAGGAACATAAACATTTGTGAGATGTTTATGGAGTCCCCCCCCCCATTTGGCTTATATTTGTATAGCCTTCTGTATAGCAGCAGCTATCCTATTCTTCCACCTTCTATTCCCACATCTAAGTTGTTTATGAAGATATGAAGAGTACTGGGCCTAAGATGGAATCTTGTGGTACCCCACTGCTTACTTCCCTCCATGTAGACTTAGATATGTTAAGGATAACTTGTTGAGTATGGTTTGTCAGCCAGTTATGAATCCATCTAGTGGTGATGCTATCTATCCCACTTTTTTCTAGTTTACCAAGAAGTAGATTGTGGTCTACTTTTTGAATGCCTTGCTGAAGTCTAAGTATATTATCTCCACAGTATTCCTCTGGTCCACTAATTTAGTCACTATGTTGAAGAATGAAATAAGATTGTTTTGGCATGACCTGTTTTTAACAAACCTGTACTGACTGCTAGTTATTACTTTAGTCGTTTCTAAATGTTGGCAGATCTGTTTTTTTTATTATCTTTTCCAGTATCTTCCCAGGTACTGATGTTAGGCTGATTGGTCTGTAGTTTCCTGGGTCTGTTTTTTTTTTCTTTTTTGAAGATGGGAACCACATCAGCTTTTTTCCAATCCTCTGGTAGTTCCCTGATGATCCAGGATTTTTGAAAGATGTGGTATAGTGGTCCTGAGATGACATCTGCCAGCTCTTTTAGAACTCTGGGATGTAATCTACCAGGTCCCGGTGATTTGTATTCATCAAGATCAGACAGGTGTTCTCTTACCATTTTTTTTTGCTTATTTTAACTTTTGTTTCCAGTCTTTTTTACAGTTATGTTTTTGGTAGGTTGGGCTATCAAGCTTCATTCTTTTTGTATGAAAATCTATGCAAAGAATGAGATAAGTTACTCTGCTTTTTCTCTGTTGCCTCTTACTTCCTTGCTGTCTTCTCTCTTTAGTGTAGTGATGGTTTCCTTGATTTTTTTTCTTGTTATTTATATGTTGGAAGAAACTTTTTATTATCTTTGAATTTTGTTGCAAGTCTGCCCTTTGCTTTCCTGACTTTGTCTTTGCAGATTCTGGCTATCTGCTGATATTCTGCCTTAGTTGTGTGTCCCTCTTTCCACTTTTTGTACTTGTCCTTTTTGTCTTTCAATTTGTCAGAGAGATCTTTGTGCAGCCATGCTGGTTTCTTCCTGGATTTCTTGTTTTTCTTTCTCATTGGTATTGTGCTGGTCTGGGCTTTTATGATCTTATTTTTCAGAGTTTCCGAAGCTTCTTGAGTTGTTTTCCCTTGAGCCATATCAAAGTGCAGAATTCGAAAACCAAATTATTACTAAAATTTGATAACAATTTAAAATGGAATTGGATAAAATACAATTTTAAGTGAAATGGGAATAAAATAAGATATAAAATGAAATTGGAATGAAATACAGTGTAAAATGAAATTGGAAAAAATAGAACAATTTAAGATATAGATTAAATATGATAAAATTATATTTCGGTGTCACCCCTGCAATCGACCCCAATCAGTCCCACATATGCAGATCTAAACTGAACCATTTTGCTTAAGTACTGTGCTGTGTTAAATGTTATTTTCAGATTCTGGCCACACATAAGGTAAGTTGTTTTGATGTGGGGGTCCCAATGGGTCATTCATTTTGTATATAGACCGAGGTATCTGTCTCTCACCCTCTTATACAGGCAACAGTCAAATAGGTCGTGGGCCAGCTCTTCTACCTCTGCCATTCCGCAAATGCAGAGACGTTCATTGTAGAGTATAGAATAGAATCTCCCATATCTGACCATTGTGTCGAGCTGTTCGAATCTATTTCGTGTAAATATCTCCCTACTTATCAACTTATCAGGAGGGCTTTAAACTAAAATTGAGGGGGAAAGGTGACCAATCTTTAGAATCTCCAGGACCTGATTCCAAGCAAAAAACCCCTGGAAAGCAAGTCAAATAATGGAGTAAGGAAGGATGGGAAGGAAGACAAACACAAACACCAAATAGGAGACATAGGAAGCATACCCAGAGTCAGACAAAAAGATCTCAAGTGCCTATATACAAATGCACAGTCTGGAAACAAACAGGGTGAATTTGAACCATTAATACATGAAGGTAGATATGATATAGTTGGAATAACAGAAACTTGGTGGCATGCAACTCATGACTGGAACATACTGATAGAAGGATACCAACTGTTCAAAAAAAACAAAAAAAACAGACCCAATGAAAGAGGAGGTAGAGTTGCACTGTATTTAAAAGACAGAATAGAATAGAATATTGGCTTTATTGGCTAAGTGTGATTGGTCACACAAGGTATTTGTCTTGGTGTAAATACTCTCAGTATACATAAAAGAAAAGATACATTCGTTAAGAATCAGTAATCATAACGTACAACACTTAATGATAGTCATAGAGTACAACCAGCAATCATATCATACTAGGAAACAGTCAATATAAATCGTAAGGATACAAGAGACAAAGTTACAGTCATACAGTCACAGGTGGGAGTAGATGGGTGATAAGGAGTGATGAGAAGATTAACAGTAATAGTAGTGCAGACTTTGTAAATAGTTGGACAGTGTTGGAATTATTTGTTTAGCAGAGTGATGGCTTTCGGGAAAAAACTGTTCTTGTGTCTAGTTGTTCTGGTGTGCAGTGCCCTATAGCGTTTTGAGGGAAGGAGTTCAAACAGTATATATCAGGATGTGAGGGGTCTGTAAATATTTTCACAGCCCTTTTTTTGACTTGTGCAGTATACAGGTCCTCAGTTGAAGGCAGGTTGGTAGTAATTGTTTTTTCTGCAGTCTTAATTATCCTCTGAAGTCTGTGTCTGTCCTGTTGGGTTGCAGAACCAAACCAGACAGTTATAGAGGTGCAGATGATAGACTCAATAATTCCTCTGTAGAACTGTATCAGCAGGTCCTTGGGTAGTTTGAGCTTTCTGAGTTGACACAGAAAGAACATTCTTTGTTGTGCTTTTTTGATGATGTTTTTGATGTTAGGTGTCCATTTTAGGTCTTGTGATATAGTAGAATCTAGAAATTTGAAGGTCTCTACTGTTGATACGATGTTGTCTAGTATTGTAAGAGGTGGTAGTATGGGAGGGTTTCTTCTAAAGTCTACCACCATTTCAATGGTTTTTGAGTGTGTTCAGTTCCAGGTTGTTCCGGTTATACAACGAGGCAAGTTGTATAACCTCCTGTCTGTATGCGGATTCGTCGTTGTCTCGAATGAGACCAATCACTGTTGTGTCATCAGCAAACTTCAATATTTTAACAGATGGATCGTTTGAGATGCATTCATTGGTATATAGGGAGAAGAGAAGTGGAGATGGCACACAGCCTTGGGGGCTCCCTGTGCTGATTGTACAGATATCGGATGTGATTCTGCCTAGCTTCACCTGCTGCTTCCTGTCTGTTAGGAAGCTTATGATCCACTTAAAAGTGTGTTCAGGTACTGCTAGTTGGTTTAATTTACTTAGAATGATGGTATTGGATGCTGAACTGAAGTCTACAA